AAGTAGTTAAATACCTATAAGTGATTGATTTGTATTGACCGATTTTATGTTTGTCTAAGCTTTTAGTACTGAGTAAATGTTATGGAACAAGTTATAATGTGACTGACGGTCTAAGAGGCTTCATTGATCGAATTCGATTATAAAGAACTAGGGAAAAGTGTAATTCATTGATCATGAATCAGTGATCAGTCATTTATAAATGATTCAGCACTACAAAATGCTAGTCTCGGAAAAGCCCATAAATGCCCTGGTACAGCCAAGAGCTAGTAAAGTCTGCTCTTTCTCAAAATGCCATCATATGACGACACGTATACATCACTACCATAGAAGTCTTATTAATTGCCTTCTCGTGGGGGAAGTGACGTTCACGAACTTGAAAGAACGAAAAGTGGAATTTTAGCGCTTAAACCGGGTACACATGATCCATGTACGGGTGTTCGAAAACCCTGATTTCATACCAATGTTGCACAAAAGCTTCAGGGTCCTAAGAAGACCAAAGTTGTATCAACCTGCTACTGGTCCCCGACAACCATGCAACTGAATCTCCTGACTGTGTTGCACTGCCTTGTAGATTAGACTTTTGAGTCATAAACATTTCTTTCTCGGGTGGATTCTGATTTATTTTCTCCGATAGTAGGTTGTTGTTGATGGTATTTGGCCAGCGGATCCTCAGTATTTTGCGCAGATAACTATTAACAAATACTTGTATCTTACGTATGATGACCTTCATGGTTCTTTAAGTTTCGCCACTATCTTGGCATTCGTATTGGAAATTCTAACTTTGATGTTGGTTGACAGCTGTTGAGTTTCAGACGTTCCACCTGGAGCCCTTCTGGTGTTACTGCCGGTCCGAAACCCTGATTGAGTGTCGAACGACGGCTGAATGACCCCTTCCCATAGAAAACGATAGAAAATAATTAGAATCATTTGAATTCTGCCCCGGTAGTTGGAAGGTCTTCATTTAGTAGAGTTATGACGCCTCAGGATGAAAGCCGAGTTTATTCGGAAGTCACGAGGTCGATGCCCTTTCTAACAATCAGAAAAACCATTATTTCAGGTATATGGAGACCGGAAGAGTCATCCAAGTTGCTGCAAAAACGAAGATACACAACCTAGCAGTACGGAGGAAGCTGTAATTTAGAATGAATATATTACTAAACGCGTCTCTTCAAAATTAATTTTTACAGATTATACTATACGCTCTATTTTGCAATAATCTAATGCTAACAGCTAATAAATAAACGAAACATCTTAATATGCCCTCTTCTTTATGCACTGTTTTTATTAGTTTAAAAGCTGTAATGGTTATATTTATCAGCAAATTTCTTAGTACTATCTTCCTTTCTATATGTTAAAAAGGGTACACACTATCTTTTCTCTCCTTTTTTGAATATTACGTAATTAACCAACTCTGCAACAATTTGCTCTCCCACTTTTCTACAGATAATCAGTCAGTCAGTCAATTGCAACGTAGAACTTTGTACGTGTGTACATAAGTTCATTTCGCCATACCACATTAACACAGAGACGCAAATGTCAAATCAAATCCCATAGTGATAAAGATAGTAGAGGTATTAATGGTAATGAAGAAGACTAGGGTTCGAAGATATTATTCAAGAAATACAATTCAGTGAGATAAGGTTAGAAAGACAAAGGTAGAGGTGTTGACGAATCCCGAAGATTAGGATTTGAGAGATTTCAAAGAATGGATGCACTTGCGCCATTGCAAACGATTTTGAGCCATGTCGTTCAAGGTCTCTACCCATTGATGACTTTCGTCTCGCGGACCCCAACCAGGTAGCCTACATCTGCCAACATGACTCAGTCTACTTGTCAGTGACTTCATGGATTTGTGCCATGGTTTAGTTTGGCCGCCCCTAGCTTTCTTCCAACCTACTCCTACACTACAAGACATAGCTCGTCGAGGCAGTCGATGGTTAGCCATACGTAACACATGTCCCAATCACCTCAACTGATGAAGTTTCACCACTTCATCTATTGATCTGCCATCGTTACCTAGTACTCGTTTCTTAACAACAGCATTGCTTACTCCGTCTTCCCACGATATACGAGCAATGCTTCTTAAACATCTATGATCGAATACTAGTAACCTACGATCATCTTCTACTCTTAACGGCCATGTTTCACAACCATATAGGAGAACGGAGCGAACTGCTGCACAGTACACCCATCCTTTGGTTAGCGAAAGGATATCACGCCTACGCCATAAGTGACGCAGGTTGGCAAAAGCCGAACGAGCTTTCTGTATCCGAGCTGAGATTTCGTCAGTCACCAGGCTATCAACGCTGATGAGACTCCCCAGATAAGTGAAGTGATCAACACGCCCGACTACTTCGCTCCTTATCTCTAGTTCAGGTGCCGATGCAACCCAGTCTTGAAGCAACATTTTGCATTTCGAGGGGGAGAACCGCATTCCGAATATGTTTGCATTGCTGCTTGAATAGTCAGAAGACTGCATTTTGTCAGCATCTTCACCAGGTAGAACTATGTCATCGGCATATTCTTAGTCAGCTAGTGAATCTTCTGGTAGAAGGTCTACTCCTGAAAATTCAGACGAAGATAATGTTATGCTTAGAAGCATATCTACGACAGAGTGAAACAAGAATGGAGAGAACAAACATCCCTGACGGTACCACTTGATGTAGAGAATTCAGATGACAGTTCGGCATAAGCTCTCACCCGACCAGTGGTGTTCGAGTAGAGAGCTTGTATAAGGTTAATGTACTTCTTTGGTACACCTTTCAATGACAGACACTGCTACAGAACCTCACGATCCACTGAGTCAAATGCCTCTTTTAGGTCCAGGAACACGACTATTGTCGGACGTCTAACGTGTGTCTGTATTCCAGGACCTTTCGTATTGTGAAGATGTTGTCTATACAACCACGTCCAGGTCGAAATCCAGACTGGTTTTCTCAAGTCTGCTCTTCACGAGCTCTGGTTAGACGTCTGAGTATAATGGAGGCTAACAATTTAGAAACTATATTAGTTAGACTTATTCCCCTGTGATTGTCACAAGAGGACTTTTGTCCTTTCTTGTAGATTGGGACAATTAGCAACTGAGACTAGTCGGATGGGATTACGTCCAGTTCCCAAATTCTACCTAAGATCTCAGTTAGTCTAACTGTTAAAACTGGACCACCATCCTTAAAAATCTCAGACTGGGAGGACTTAAATCGATTTGCCATTCAGGATGACTGGTGATCGTGGGCAACCGAAGTGTGGCTCGAGGCCAGTTGAACTGATCCCTAAAGTGTTCTGCCCATCGGTCCAATCTCCTGGATTGAGAATGGATAATAAGACCATCCTTTTCCGAGATAGTCTCACTCACATTTCTACAGATAATACTTAATTGAATGCCGAAATTATCCTAATCATTTTTAATCTTAATTTACTTACTTAGTTATTTACAGAAGGTTTATGTAAAACGACCTGACATCTGGCCAGTATCGTGTTCACGAGCCAGTTTTTGTACTCTTGTGCAGCAGGTTATATTAACTGTACGAATGGTACACTTATGAAATAAACATTGAAACACTACTGTGAATATAATTCGAAACGGTTTGGAATATGTAGTTGTTGAAAATTTTAACTGAAATTTGAACAGTCTTGGTTGGTATATGGACATTCTGTACAGATTGCCTTGATACAGCCATTATGATGCAAGCTTATATTAAGTAGATGGCATATGGGTGACAGTGAAGTTCGAGACTCTTATTTTTTCCTATTTAGGACTCTTAAGCTAGATTTACTTGCATGATGTTGATGTTTGTTCCAGGGCTCGAAAGCAGTATCGTTTGCTTCAAACACCGCTTACACTACTAGCCACATTCCGTTTATTCTATATCAACTACCCTCAACAGCTATCCAAAACAAGAATACAAGTCAATCAAGAGTTCAATCTCTGAACATATGTTCAACTATCGTCATCTGTTGATGCATGAATTATAGTATAAAATTATCTACAAAGTTAAAGGAGCTCCATATAAAAATAATTTAATTGAAAAATTCATACCTGGTGGAAGCTATAAAAATTCATCAATTTAGTGTTGAACTGTGTATATATACGAATCAAGCAGTCCAGTATTTAGGTAGACAATATTAACAGTTCGATTTGGAATATAATGTTAACCCATCAATTTAATAATAATCACCTTATTTTATATTGAAATCGTGAATCAACCATTGTCGGACCAACCATTAGAAATCTGGAAGCACTGGCTAACCATTTCATCCTAGTATGATATTCTTCAGCAGTGCTCATCCGCCACTTCGCACGTGGGAATCGAACCCATGACTTTCGGTCTCGAAAGCAGACGCTTACCTTCTAGACCACTGAGCCGGCATCCAGCAGTGTCAGTGTCTAACAGTGATCAATCTGAGGATTTTTGCGCGACTTCACCCATGGTCTTCGGTAGTTACTGCCCACACCTGATAGGGTTGAACTTCACAGATCACGATGGACAAACAACGATTGATTTACGATTTCAACATAAGATAACAATCCCCTTAGCTTTATGATGAAAAATCATTAATGTGCTCACTAGTGACTAGTTTCGTGAGAAATTCTCTGAGTTGTCGTGAGAAGCCATGGCCAGTGAAGTTCAACCTTATCACGTGTAGGAACTAACTACCAAAGACGATGAGTGAGGTTAAGTGAAAATTTTTAGATTGATCAAAGTTAGACATGAAAACCGTTGATTGACGGCTTAGTGTCCAGAGGTTAATCGTACGCTCGCGAGAACGAGGGTCCTGCGAACGAATCCTATGCGTAATAGGAGTCATGGATGCGCAGTGTTGATAAATCCTATACTAGGACGAAACGGCCTTCCAGTTCTTCCAAGTTTCTAATGGTAATCTAATGATAACTAATTCACGAATTCAATGTAAAGCAACAACCCCCTTAACTCTATGACGAAAAACATCACATTAATATTTTACTTTTAGTCTACATTATTAATATCGTTCTTCTTTTCCAGAAATTTGACTGTTCTTTTGCTAACGGAGATGTCATTTATCGTCATGAAGGGAATCCACTTATAAATCATGATCATGTACAAGTTACCATTTTTTTCTTTCGTAATAATAATTCAGTTGTACAAACTGTTGACATCATGATCGATATCGAAGACCCACCAATACATTTAAACAATAATTATGAGATGAACAATGTCACAAATCAAATTATTCGTAATAATACCAATAATAATACGATGGATAATGAGAAAGAGTTAAAGATGAAACAAGATTCGTTAATAAGTCCAATACTACAAAGTAGAATTGAACAACTGAAAGAGTTGACGGTTAAAAATCTTCGAGCGACAAGTGAAAGTATCAGTTCAGACATATTAAGGATACGGTAAGTGTGAAGATAGAAAAAAAGTTGTACATTTCTTAATTCTCTGTTAATAGTTCTATTCCTAGGAAACCTAAGCTATTCATGTTCTAACTATAAGACACTTCAATATCTTAATACTTGTTTCAAAAGATTGCAGTATTAATAATAATAATAATGGTGGTAATAACTGAAGAATTCCAAAATTTTATTAATGTTGACATTCAGAATTCATTCTTAAAATGATCATTCAGCTGTTTGACATAAAATACCATTCAAGCTTCCTAGATTTAATGGTTATAACTTCATCTGTACAACAGGTTCAACAGTTATTCAAACAGTTGATGATTAGATGTTTATTGTGAAATTCATTCTGTAATATAAAGGTGATTTATCAACTTCGATTTCTAGATTTCATCAAGTAACTGTATATAAATTCTCATTCACTTATCGTGTAGTTGGTTTGAAATGTTTATGAGGAAATATTCAATTGTGGTGGAATATAAGTCGACAAATCTAAAATGGATTGTACTCAGGTTCTGTACAACTAGTGTTTTTATTTGAAACTACTGAGTTATAATCGTGGGATTCACATGTCTAATCTCAAACTATCCACTCACTTTACAACATGACCATCATTAAATGTCACTGACCTAGCTGCACGTTACTGACGAGAGATTGTGGTGGCCAATTTTCAACGTGTTCTTAAGCTTCGTAATTCGCTCGTCTAGGCAATAGTCACCGAATAGCGCCTGACGGTTATGAATCAGAAGTCAAATACGAAGTGTTGAATTCGTTTATTTTTAGCACACCACAAAATGGGACAGCGAACCACAAGCAGACAGGACAGACACACTAGCGACCAAGTTGGTGAATGTGCAAATATGCGAATGAATTAATAAGATTAAAATGTTCATAGGAAAATGTCTGAGTCATCGAGGTATTTAAGAGATTAACATTAAAGCGAAAAGGATGAGTAAGCGCGTTGGTGTACGCAATGCGCAGTCGTACCAGCCCATACAAACCAGACAATAAAAAAAGCAATGGTACTTATAAGATTTTGCTATACAAAGAGCTTGGCTAAATAAGTTAATCGAAATTAAATATGAGCGAACTCAAGTGTATGTGGAGGCACTACAAGACATTCAATATTCCCAGACTCCCACAAAACTATGTCAATTGATTATAATCTGTTATGAAAATCATTTGGGAATAGTGATTTTTTTTCTTTAATTTTAAATACTATTTTTAAACTCTATGCATGAGTAACATTTGAAAAAATAAATTTGATGGAAACACATAACTAAGATGTTCGTACATTGTTTCAGTCCATGTTGAAATCTCTCTTCATGTTCAAAAATGAATCGATTTGAATATAATATCCGGGCTAATAAACTTTTTTCTTAAACTTACTAATATTTTCATTATTTTTTCAGTTATAATTTAGATAATGAAGAATGTCGTTTAGCTTATGTTAGTCCAGAATATTTAATAACAAGAGGACAATTAACAAATACTTCTGATTGGTCAATATTAGGACGTTTAGGTGGTACTCAAACACCAAAACTTGGTTTACCATTAACGTCAGGCAGTGCTGTTGGTGGAGTACGTAGATGGCCATTATTTGGACAAATTGTACATTTTAATCGGACAATGGTTGATTACATTGATAGAGATTGTCAAGAGGCATTGTTACAAGGTTACAGGTAAGTGTTGCTTATACATCTATAACTTGATTCAATGAATTTTCTGGTGTATTTTATGGATATCCGTTTTTAAATTATATAGACAGAAGATAACAACCCTATTCATGAAGTGAGATATATTTTGTGGATAAGATCGGTTTTTCTATTGATTTTAAAAGAAATAAAATGCTTTTCATGAATGGAATATAAATTTTAAGAATGTAAACTGTAATTTATTAATTATTTAAAATTCACTGAATTTCACTTCAGTAGTCTAAGCTCCCTACAATATCCGATGATCCTGAGTTTAATCCCAAGTGGGTTTTGTCTAAGAGAACTGTTAAAAAACCTAATACTATGACTTGAAAGATGTCCAGTGAATCTTGGTATTGAAACGTTACCTAAATAAGACCCTTCTATAATGTAAACAATAAAATCCAAGAATCAACTCAAACCCTCTGTCAGGAAACAGTGAGCAGTTGTTCCGTTCTAGTAAGAAAACTTCATGTAGCGCGTGGTCGTACAATCACCACGCCTGATTAGACTCAGGACCTCGAAGTGAGCACTTACACTTTAGACTTATGAGCCAGCATTCACCGTTTTATACTACCAACTTCAATCAGTTGTTGATATACCACTGGGTTGTAACTATCTCACACTCAATATAGTTGAACCCTATTTTCTACAGCTTATCACTGGATCAGCTGAGTTTATTAACTATGAGCCCAATATATCTCCACGAATTCTCTCTTAAGTCAAGCTACATGAAAGAACTTTTTAATACTCCAGTTAATGCTTGAAATGAACTATCACTAGACAGATCTACGGTACATCAGAGCTTCACTAATAAGTGCTTATCATGAAAAATAAATTTATTTTGTTTCCGATTCAGTGCATTCTTGAAAAATCCCCAACGTAAATAAATTACCAGATACGATACATTTTTATGACATGTAAGTAGATTTTACAAACAGTTTTCAGTCACCTATTCCAATGATAACAGGTCAGGCAAAATAAAGTCAAACTATTAACTTATCATAATCCAGATAAAATTAGCAGTGAGAATGTAAAGTTACATTTTTTTGCGATTTCAAAGTAATTAATCATATTTTATAGTTTGGGAATTTTAACATTATTATAAATTCTAACAATTTTTGATAATATTAGGATTTGTATAAATAAAAACACTATTTTTTAGTCTACATCACAGAATCACTGTAATCAGAGAATAATTGGAAAATAGGAATTTTCATGATAAGAGTTGTGAAGATTGTTGAGTTTCATTGAAATCATGACTAGTGGAGTTCAACCCTGCCTGGTGTTAGCAGTCACCCACCGACAATAATGAGTGAGGTTGTGTAATATTAGGGAAGATTAAAGTTAGACACTAACACCGTTAGATGCCGGCTCAGTGGTTTAGAGATTAAGCGTTCGTACGCAAGGCCGAAGATCCTGGGTTCGATTCCGGCGAGCAAGGATCATAGACGCGCACTGCTGATGAGTCCCGTACTAGGAAGTAACGGCTTTCTAGTGCTCTCAGGTTTATAATGGTAGTCTAACAACGATCAATTCGTGATTTCAATGAAAACAGAAATAATTAGACTACTGTTTTGTCGTAGGTTTAGACGTCCCACTAGTATTCATTTAGAGCTCCGCGTGAGGCCGAATTTGGGACCATCAGGCTTTGTAACGAGAAATATCATTGGTCAATTAAAATTAGACAAGTAAGCCATTAGATATCAGTTTAGTTATTTGTATATTGATCAGTCTCCTGGAAACTCGACAGTTAGGTTGTGAATGTGCATACTAGTAAGAAACAAACGTCCCATAATTCCTGGTTTTATTAGTTGTTAATCTGTAATCTAAACCATAATACTGAACAACTCCCACAAACCAACATAGAAAATAAAGACAATATTGAATGTTTGTATGATCCACGATCAACATACCAATAGTTTACTCAGAACAAATCATTTTAATCTAAAGTTCCGTCTTATATTTAAACTAATTTCCAGTATATATTTCTAATCCCTCAAAACAGTTGGAACATTTATCTGAAATTTGTTTATAAAGGGTTTTCTAGCCATGAATACTTTTAAGTGTCACAATTAGACTAAAATGTATCATATGTGATTGTGTTGATTTGTCAGTGGTTTAAAATCGATCTTTACTATCGACGGTATTCTGTTCTGTCCAGGGACAAACTATTTACAATAATACCTAACAAAGACTAGTGGAGACTATTAGTTTTTCTTCATGAAATTCTAAGTAAAAATCAAGTGGAAGTGAGCACAAGACTCAAACTTCCCGACTGGGGACTCTTGTTTAAGGGGCCTCGACGCCAGGGGACACTACACAAGGGATAGTGTTAATGGAACCACAAATGGTCAGTTGCCACATAATCCAAGATCTGTACCGCTGCTTCCCTGAACAGAGTCCTAGGCCGCCCTAAGAAAGCTAGAGCTACTGCTCATGTAGAGTATTTTTTCAACATTTCAGGCACTAGGCTGACGCCTAGTGCTATAAGGGAGATGATGGAACGGCGGTCCTTAAATCGTCATGTCAGGTAGGGCTGAATATCAGTGCTTCACAGTGTAGGTAGCTCGAGCATTAATGTCTCCCGGAAAGAAAATGGACTCGTACCACTCATACCACAATTAGACATTGTGTCAAACCTGTTCCCAAAAGCCTGGAGCTCGCCTTATAGCCATCGCTATGGAATTACGTCATACCTGACGATTCTAGACAGACCAGTTCTAGACACCAACAGGAAAACGTAGACTTTGAACAATCACCTTCCGGATACAATGTAGCTTCACTAGAAGGACAGAAGTCAGACTCAAAGACATCCGGTTTGAACTCCCCAGATTAGTAGATTCGCATCCATAACCTGGCGACTATGAACACGAACCATTATTCTGGACCTGCTCATCCTTATGTAATGAGCATGGTATCCATATCGATCGAACATGGCGCTGAAAACAACTCCCAGGAGGCCACATTTATGCCACGTATTCATCAATTAGATGACGAGGCATTTGGCTACCTCAAAAGAGTGATGGTTTCTCTCTTTTCTCAGATCTCTGAGCGAAGATCTTATGTAGAATATAACTTTATACATTATTTTACCCAATCTCTTTATATGCTTTTTGCTAATGCACAATAATTTCATATTAGTTGATTTCCGAGCCTTTTACGATATTATATATATATATATATATATATATATATATATATATATATGTTACGTAACAGTACGATCATTGTTGTTTGTTTTCGGTTAAATCAGGCCACGTTCATTTCGATAAACCATCTTAGTTTGTCTATTGATTTGATTTGAACAAAAATAACTTTCTACCCTAATAATTATCTCCTTGCTGATCAATTTTAAAAATCTAATATAACGTAAAGAATTTATTTCAAACATCAAAACAGATTGATTGTTGATCAAAACTTATTACATATAAATGTTTTTGCAATGTATTCGAAATAAAAATAACAAACCAATTATGTAAAATCGTCTCTGACTGTTAAAAACAAGAAAGCAAGTACAACCAGCCTATAAGTCCCAAATACTATAGAACGCTCGTCCTCGATTCCACTGATAGCCGATATACATCTTTGCTGATAATGGTTGTGACCTAATGGTTATATAGAGGTACTCTACACAGGATACACTATTTGCCAAATAAGACTGATCAATTTCCACCCTAATCACCGGTGGAAAGATTCAAATTACCAAAATAAATGAATGAAAGCTGGTTATTGTAGGAGCTTACGGTGCTGATTCAATGGTGTACAAAACGAACTTCACCCAATCCAAAACATTGAGAGATCATCTTACAGTGTCTTTAGAGGATAGAGAACTCCAGGAATTCCCTCTTGAAGCTAGTAATTGGTTAGAACATGATAATTATCAGTATACGTTCATGAACATTGTTAAGTATTATTGAAATCATTAACCGATCAATATTAGACCACTATTGAAAACTGGAAAACATTAGACAGTCATTTCGTTCTAATGGTTTACTTATCCATAAGATTGCAAGTATTTTTTTATTGGAAACAAATAAAAGTATACTATTTCATTTGCCGTTGTTACTGAATTCTCTAAACTATATCATGTAGTAGAGGCTGATAATTTTATCGAAAATGATCATAAAAACTTAATCATTAAGTATAGTAGCTCAGAGAACTTTTATTGACCTAGTGTGATTAGAGTTAAATTACTATTAAACCAATTAATCGATTAATCAGTCAGTCAGTCAGTCAGTTGCAACGTAGAACTTCGTACGTGTGTACATAAGTTCATTTCGCCATACCACATTAACACAGAGACGCAAATGTCAAATCAAATCCCATAGTGATAAAGATAGTAGAGGTATTAATGGTAATGAAGAAGACTAGGGTTCGAAGATATTATTCAAGAAATACAATTCAGTGAGATAAGGTTAGAAAGACAAAGGTAGAGGTGTTGACGAATCCCGAAGATTAGGATTTGAGAGATTTCAAAGAATGGATGCACTTGCGCCATTGCAAACGATTTTGAGCCATGTCGTTCAAGGTCTCTAACCATTGATGACTTTCGTCTCGCGGACCCCAACCAGGTAGTCTACGACTCAATGCTATACCTACACCGGCGAGGCCCCTAGAAGCAGCACCAGGGCTACTGGATACACGAAGGGTATATCAAGTTGCTTCTTTATCTTGACATGGTGAGGTCAAATTAGTGATGCTACTCGGATCCTGTATGCGCGTTTCCGAGACGCAGCACACATCGATGAAACGAGATTCTAAAGTCCTAGCTAATGATGCCTGTTGCCCTATTTGACACGATGTCCATACATTGAATGCTCCAACATGTAGTTTGGAACGGGGTTTAAGGAGACCAGGAACGACGTTTCACGAACTCGCATCGTTTGCATTAGCTGTGCACTGTGATAAATGAATGTGAGAAGAGTTAGTCGTGGAGATAAGAGAGGTATTAGGGAATGTAGGAAGGATTTGACTTTGAACAATTTGGTCTCGTGTGCTGTTGCGGGCATGAGGGCGGTTGGTTGTCACTTCCCGGCTGCCCACACCATGGAAGGTTGTTTCTTGAGGGACCTGAAAAGGAAGATAGATTAGTGTTGGTGTTAACGACCTGGTTGCGTGACCGCAGAGTCCAAGGGACAACTGCTTGAGGCCGGTCACGCATGGCCTTTTTATGAAGGGTTTTTTGAGGATTAGCTCCACTCTTGAAAGCCCATAGTGGGCACCCTTACTCAAGGAGACGGAAATCCGTGAGGTAGGGTGAGGTGTGATATTTTTAGGGTCGACCTTTTCTAACCCTTCCTTCCTTGTGAGAAGGCAGCATCGCTGCAGATGCTGGTTGTCTCAGGGAAACACCTTACTGCTGTCACACCCGTCTGCAGTCAGCAGTACGACTTCGCCCTCAGACCTTGAGTTGCTGCTTTTAGTCTCATCGTTCTCCAATCGACCAGTCTGGCATGGTAGGACCTTCAGGAACATATGTTCCAGCCAGTATAGCTTGGTTGGGTCATCACGATAGGCAAGCCCGATCACCACGTCAAGGTAGCAGCTTCGGTCGGGTATCGATTAATGTTAGGCCATCATATATATATATATATATATATATATATATATATATATATATATATATATATATATATATATATATATAGTATCAAACAGCAATTTATTTTCAGATTAACAATTATTTAATATTTAATTTAAGGCTGAAATTCATCCTGACAGAAATGATTTCCTATTTCATATAAATTTTATTATAATTAATCATGATTTTTCGTTCATTAAACTAATATTTGACGAGATTTATTTCATCTTCTTTTTTATTTTGCTTTTATTATTATAATTATTATCATTACTTTGAATAGGTATTTACATCGTAGAGGTAACAGTTACGCAACAGATTACATACCAATTCAAATAACAATATGGAATCGGATGAATGATGGTTCAAGAGGTCAACAGATAATTGAAAGTAAATTCTTGAAAGTGACAATTTCAAATGCACAAAATATGAAACCACCTGTACTAAGAGCATTTCGACAAGTAAATTTGAATACATTTATTTACATTTCCAAAAAAATGAAGAAACCAACTAAAGTTATATTAGATTTTTTAAAATGTTTTATTCATTATTTGTAATATGATACACTGAGTTCACGTATAGCTAAAAATTATTTCAGCTAATTTTAGTAAATTTTTGATATAAAATCGAATAATGTTTTTATCAATATCTTAACGAGAACATAATTAGGGTTGGAGAGAACAATATATTTGATCTGTTCCAAGTTAGGGAACACCTGAGACTTTTCATTGTAGAGTTATGGAGATTGTTACTTTAAATTGATTTATTCACGATTATTAAGTTTCATTGAAATTATGAATCGATCATCGCTGGACCACCATTATATACGTGGAAGCACTAGACGGCCGTTCTGTTCTGGTGTGGGATTAACGTCATGGCTCCCCATAAAACTCCGAGAATTTTTTCTCGAACCAAGTCATCCTGTTGGGTGCGAAGCACTGCCCTCCAAAGACAAATGGGTGAGGTGGCGCAATACCGTGGATTGATTGAAACTAGACATTAACACCGTTAGATGCCAGCTCAGTGGTCTATGGGTTCACACAAGAGACCGAAGGTCCTGGTTCCAGTTTCCGCGAGCTTCCTGTACTGCCGATGAGTACCGTACTAGGATTTGGTGACTATCCAGTTCTCCCAGTTTTATAATGGTGGTATAACACTGATCGATCTATGATTTAAATGTAAGGCTCAATACTCAACTGACATGTATTGACTTAGGATAAAATGAGATTTCAAGAAGTAAACAGCTACTGAACAAACCAAATAATGCCATCTTCAAAATTTTCAAATCAATATTAATTCACTGAGGAATCTTTTAAATTCGTAATGACCTCAATCAGAATACCCCTGAAAACCATGAAGCTCATTGGATAATTGTTTCATTTCACTTAAGACCGTAGATTCCTAAACCCACTGAGGATAAAACTCAGCATGTGATTGTGTACGTTTATTTTCGAAGAGCTACAAACTGGAACAAAACAGCGATTCGTAATGTAAACTATAAAACCTATCTCTACAAACCTTGTAAACTTACAATAGTTTATTTACTATCCGTCAATAGTGGAACTCGATGATGAGTAGTAAATAGAGTCCATAAGTATGCGACCCATCGGTATATGGAATTCGCTGACCAATCTCTAGAAAATGAAATGAAGACCTTCGATCGATAACCACAGTCAGAATTAGCCGACACCACATCAAGTCGATACCGAAACGTTTTATAATAAACATATATATTACTAATTAGTAGTTTATCTTTTCAAACTAAATATTTGTCCATCAATTTGATGACTATTTCTAAAATGCTTCAAAATTACACACACACACACATTCGATCATGGTCATCAATAATAAAGAAAAACCGTGAACTAAAAAATTCCTAATGATTTATTTTTTTTACAAATTATCAAAATCAATTCTAAATCATTTCTAATAATAATATTTCTTTTAAATGCAACAATTTGTGTACAATGGAATGAAGAAGGGTTGATAGATAATTCAGATAACCTGAGTTATAAAAAAAATATCGGCGGTCACCCAATCATAACTAATTGATCATTGAATTCGATTGGTGATATTCCAACGAATATACGGTGAATGAAAATGATACTTTGAGGAGGTGGGTGAAGAAGAACAACAGGAGTAAGGTGTTGGCATTGATTTTGGCGTTAAAAGTAATGTTTCACTCAGATTTGGATCGTTCAATGTTCCAATTTTTGGCAATAACGAATTCGGCACCTCTGAAATGAGAATAAATTGATGCGAACAAGTAGATTGATTGATGTTATGAGAAATGAAATGGATTACGTAACTACATGTTATAGGTAATAGTACTGTAGTGAAGGAAACACAGGTGAGGGCAATAGAATTTTATCTTTCGCAAATTACAGAGTTACTCAGTAAAATAGGAAAACCATATCGTAAATCGTTAATTTGCAAATCTTCAATCAATCATCAATCCACTGTCTGACATTTCACTATTCATGCGTTTCATACAAATTCCATTGTGTTCCCACTCTTCCTTTCTTGATCTTCCCCCCCCCCCATGTTCTGCTGCCAGACATTACGTTTACACTCACGTCATATACTACTTATAAGTAGCGCGCACCACAGTACTAGTCGATAGTATGAAGTTTGGTGTACTATAAGTCGTAAGAATAATAAAATACAATGACAGTTTTTGTCAATAATTCAACTTTGAAACTAGTAGGTCGAACTTGGATGAGTAGACAACCTGCGAGGGGGGGGTAGTGGATGCTCACATTGCCACTGATGAGTCCTAAACCAGGACGAAACGGTCGTCCAGTGCTATCAGGTTTCTAATGGGAGCTTAATAATGAAATAATCCAATGATGAAGAATATAAATGCAGGATGTGAAAATAACAAGAATAATACATTGAAATCGTTTATCTAGTTATATCTAGCCAGGGATTGCACTACGGTTTCATGAATTTCGTCAGAATACATAAATTGAAGCTGAATATTCGGATTAGTATGACTTCTGCTATATGTAGGATTCGGGATCAAACTCTGTAGCGAAATGATAAAGGTGTACGATAGATCACTCGAAATGATTCGGTTTCATCTATACTACAACCACTATCAATCAAGTGTACCGAAATAGAGCTGAGCATTGATTTTGTCTGGCACTGAGATTGGAACAACAGATAGTTAATGTTCCTTTTAAATTTTAAATCTGATTAGGTTTTTTATCCTGGGATTATGGAGATTGTTGAGTTTCTTTGAAATCATGAATCGATCAATGTTAGGCCTCTATTAGAAATTCTGGAAACACTAGACGGATTGTACAATCTCCACGACGGTTTGGTGAAAAAGTATTATATTTCTCCGAGTTCTAGTGAGAAGTTGTGATCAATGGAGTTTAAAGCTGTCTGGTGTAAAGTAGTGCTGACCGAAAACAGTGGATTAGGTTCGGCAAGATCGTGGAATGATCGAAGTTAGGCACTAATATTGTAGTGAATGAGAACACAGGTGGGGGCAACCGGATTGTATTTAACGAAAATTACAGAGTTACTCAGTAAAATAGGAAAACCATATTGTAAACCGTTGATTTGCAAAATATCAGTTTCATCATATCGAACCGGACTGTTCCTGTTGCAAAACATCAATCCATTGTCACTCACTATTCATGCGTTTCATACAAATTCCATTGTTTTCTAACTCTTCCTTTCTTGATCTTTCCCCCCATCCTCTTCTGCTGCCAGACATTACGTTGACACTCACGTTATATACTACTTATAAGTAGTTCGCACCACAGCACCACACTCGTCCCCCCTTTTAATAAGCTGTCGTCGTAGTCCTTCAAACAGAGCCCCTGGTCAGTTAATATCACCTTCCGTATTCCGTGACACGCTACAATATGCCGGATTACCACTTCTGTCATCGTTCTTGATCACTGGTCTGGAATGGATACGGCATCTATCCAACGTGTAGCGTTTACAAGTTCCCGATGCTGGAACACGGCGGCAGGCACACACTCGACAAACTGCGACGCCAAAGACTGTGCCCCGCCCACTCCTCACGGCGCAATCCGGTGAGCTCCACAGCAAGTACCAACAGGTCAACATCGGCCGACAGCCGCGCCAACCGGAACCTCTGCGGCGCCCCTCCCTGTCCGCTGGGCTGTCGAACTCCATTATCAGCCGCCCGGTGACCGTCTCCCACGCCGTCTCCTCGGTGGCACCGTCCAGGCTGTCGTGTACCGCCCTCGCCTCACCTCCCCGCAGCGTCCCCAGCACCGTCAACTCCGCCCCAGGCCCCCACCAGCTCCACCGTGGCCCCAAACTCCTCCAGGAAGCTCCGCCAATCTCCGTCCTGCAACTCCTTCGGGCCACGTTTTTTTTTTTTTTTTTTTTTTTTTTTTTTTTTTTTTTTTTTTTTTTTTTTTTTTTTTTTTTTTTTTTTTTTTTTTTTTTTTTTTTTTTTTTTTTTTTTTTTTTTTTTTTTTTTTTTTTTTTTTTTTTTTTTTTTTTTTTTTTTTTTTTTTTTTTTTTTTTTTTTTTTTTTTTTTTTTTTTTTTTTTTTTTTTTTTTTTTTTTTTTTTTTTTTTTTTTTTTTTTTTTTTTTTTTTTTTTTTTTTTTTTTTTTTTTTTTTTTTTTTTTTTTTTTTTTTTTTTTTTTTTTTTTTTTTTTTTTTTTTTTTTTTTTTTTTTTTTTTTTTTTTTTTTTTTTTTTTTTTTTTTTTTTTTTTTTTTTTTTTTTTTTTTTTTTTTTTTTTTTTTTTTTTTTTTTTTTTTTTTTTTTTTTTTTTTTTTTTTTTTTTTTTTTTTTTTTTTTTTTTTTTTTTTTTTTTTTTTTTTTTTTTTTTTTTTTTTTTTTTTTTTTTTTTTTTTTGTTATTATAACAAATCTACATTTATACATAAGGTGCACTAACTTAGTAGGTGGTAAAATACATATTTTTATTTCTAAATTCAATAAAACCATAGACACTTTATAATTACTTCAGTTTTGCATTTAGTAATCAACCTAATTAAATTAACAAGTTTGTGATTAAAATGACGTCTATGATAATGATGGTTCTGACGATTAGGCAGTAATTTTTCAATGGTTAAAACATTTTCTTAGAAAAATACTATTTAAAACACTCAGTTTTTTCGTTTGTATTCTTTTCAGCGGGTGTTCACTAGACACACTCTGTTGCATAAATATGAATCTATTTGTAGTATCTTGATAAATAAAAAGTGTTTCTTTACACTAGGGTTAAGAATAACTTGTACTTACTTATTCTGATCATGTATCATCTTACCTTTAAAAAAATGAATAAATAAAGATGAACATTTTGATAAAACAAAATCATTAATAGTCAGCATGGTTATAATTCAGTATTACTTATATTTCTATGTGAATTAGTTTACGCATTGATCATTGAATGAAATAACGCTACTGCGATTTGCAAAGATCAGCATTTTATCGACCGAGTTTAACATTTTTCGTTCATTTTCGAAACTAACAGTGGTGTAAAATAAGTGTTAATTTTTAAGTAACTTCAGCAGTAATAACTACCTGCATGTACTGTCTTATATTTAAAATAATTTTTAGAAACAGCCTTCAATATCCTGATAACTGTGACTAGAAAAATACTCAATATTGAACATAATAATGGTATAAAAGTTATATTACTTTGAATTTAGGTGTCTTCGTGTTTTTTTCTTCAATATGAGATGAACAGTTAACTTGTAAATAAACGAATGATGTCTGCCTTGAAGAAAATTTCCACCATAGAATAGTTTTAACTAAATATGATAAATCAGAGAGTATTGAATTATTTCTACGTCCTTGTTTCCTATCCCTCTGCGGTACGCCCACACACTCCCGGGCCTGTTATAACGACCCTAACATTTAACTTAACAATGCTCTATAGATAAATGCACTTTTGTAAGTGAATAGTTTTAAAGATGAGTTAAAAAAGCTGTGACTGGATAACCTTATTGGCTGAGAGACAGTTAAGATCAGTAACACTGAATAACACTTGTATAGTATGTCTCAAAAATTGACGTCAGTGAAAAATTTGTAATATTAGATTTGAAGCTAATAGAAAAGGTCTGAATTTAATGTATTTTCTATTAGAACAGAAGGTACTGGATTCAATAATAGTGGAACCGTAAGTATAAACATAGGGCAGAATAACTGTCCAATGCTCTATGTTTTTCATTGGCTATCCAAATGAAATCAATATTGAATGAAGTCATATTCATTTTGTCTTTTATAATAATGGCTACCTCAACAATTTCATCAAAATGTGTCTAGTTGGATAATATACTGTCAAAAACCCAACCTCAGAAATTGAGAAAACGATCATCTTAGATATTTAGGAAATACCTTATAAACCATTACAAAGATTGTAAATCATCTTGGCATGAACATCGCTGATAGATTAGAGGAGGCACTTCATTTCATGCTGTGCAGACAATAAGACATAACAACAAAAGACGACCAATGCTAGACCATTTATGGGATAAACTTGAATTGTGAGAGATACCATATGGGATGAAGTAGGCTCCTCTTTCACTTATGCAATAATGGGCGTAGATTAGCAGTCAGAAAACATGATATATTATCACTGGTATCAATGTTTGCAGACAACCATGGACACGAATTCAACTGAGAAAACTTTGAAATTTCGGGTCAACAAAAACTCTGAGATTGCCACAGAATTTCTACAATCATTGTATTCAGATCAATTATCAATCAGCAGGCACAGAAACACTGACCTAATCTATGAACCTATACGGAAGAGGTCAATCAATCATGAAGCCTAACCGTAGAAACATTTATTTACATGCATTAACTGATTAGCATAAAACTGGTATCATGGTAAATAGACGGATATAATAAACTGTATTTGTATGCATAACATAGGGTTTGTGCAGATGGGCAAATCATCCTCAATATAGACCACGTTTGAACATTACTCATTCATTATAGTTAACTAAATGTCAAAACGTGAATTAGAATCTTGATGTTCAATGCCTCAATTTGTATTGTTCATCTAGTCTATCACTTTATATATTCTACATATATTATTTATCAATTTAACTGATTCTTACCCACTTTTTGTTTTCCTTTCTCAAAGGTAAATGTTACACATATAGGTGGTAGTTTATCAATTCTTCCACGTGATAGTATTAGTATTCCAAGAGATTCAATTCCTGGTTGGGAATATTTAGATATAAATATGACAAGAATGCAAGGTCCATTACAAGCTCAAGTAGTTAATCTACGTGATCCAACACGACCAGTTACAAGTTTTCGTCTAGCTGATCTTCGTCAAGGATTAATAGCATTACAACTATTGAATTATGCTGAATCATTAGTGAAGGTAAGTTTAAAAATGTTTACGTGTATGTATAGTTTCTCTTGTCAATTATTTTCACTTCTGTATTTGTTTTAACTAATAATAAAGATGTTTTTCGATTTTCAAACGCTTCACCGGATGACGCCCGATTTGCGGCCTGAACCAACGATCCTGACTTTAAGAGTCTCAAGCTCTACCGACTGGACTCAAATGGTGAACTTTAAAACAAAGTATTTTATTACTACACTGTTGTTCTTTGTGATTTATTAAAATAAATTTAATTTGTTAAAACCTTTACAGTAAATAATATTATCTAAGGAATCTTCACCATTAAAATCAATGCTCTTTGCAAATAACCAAAGTATTTTCACACGTCTAAAAATAACAGCCTTTATGAACGTATGAACGTTTGTCATATTTTAAGAATTTGTGAACCTAGAGGATCTGTTGAACTTAACGATAAACATGAACATAGCTTTGATGATCAGGATATTAGGAAAATCCTCACACTTTCCATATTGAACAGTGAGATTTCATTGCCATTTAGTATGACGGTGTCAATTTATATGTAATTTACACTCTGTTCAATGGGAAATAAGGTTTGTTAGTGCTTCAATATCAAACAAACGTTATACACATTTTTAAATTTAGTGAAATTGGAAAACTTAAATAGGTATTTTGATCTTGATTTCAAATAAAAATTAGAAAAATATGGAAATTTTAAAAATATTAAGATAGAAGGAGTTGTGTAGATCACAGAATTTCCATAACAAACTTACCTAAGTTTGATCATCATTAAAAACCCTGAAGCGCAGTCATGAATGTACATTGCTGAGAAGTCCCAAACTACTTATTTACTTATTTTCGCCTGTTACCCCTAATGGACCATAGGCTACTGAACAGCATTCTCCAATCTACTCTGTTATAAGTCTTACTTTCCACTTCTAACCAGCTGCTATTCATTCTTTCCATGTGTGTCTCCATTTCTCAGCGTAATCTGTTATTTAGCCTTTCGCCTTGAGGACTGCAGGTTAGGGCTAGACTTGTGACGCAGTTGCGTGATTCCTTTTGTGTGTGTCCTATCCACCTCCAACCTCCCTTCCTGACTGCTTCCTCAGCTAGAATCTGGGTTGTTATCCCCCAAAGTAGGTTGTTGCTGATGGTGTCTGGTTAAACGATCCGAATATAACTGTGAATAAACACTTGTATCTTGTGGATCATGGCTTTAATAAGTCCCATACTAGGATGAAACGATAACCTGGTGATATCAGATTTTCGACAATACTCTGGCTAAGATCAATATGTCGTTTAAAACTGTGCAAATTCTAAAATTGTTTTATTTAGTTTCAAAAACATAATTTTTTATTATGATCTAAACACTTATTAAAATATAAATTTAATAAAATCTACGAAGTTATTTTAAAAGAAAATGCAAGAATACTGGGTAGTTGTTTCATCTCGTTATGAAACTTTTCATACTCTTGCACAGAAATTGAATTCTAGATCTCATGGTGGATTTTCTTCCACAGCTAGTCTAAATGGCTTAGTTTGTGATGTTAGAATTATCTCGCTGATGTCATTTTTTGGACAAAGTTCAATCAGTCTTAGATAGAACACATGTATTCTGTGTGGATTGCATCTATTTGGCCGTTATGACACCAGTTTATATAGAATAGATGGAATCTGGCTGGTACTCATAACCAGGATGAACTAGCCTACATCACAGTTCACTTAGGAATTCAGCTTCTTCAAGCTTTTAATCTCATCTTAAATAATCTTATATTTTACACTTTTTTTGTTTTTTCAAGGTATTCATTATTACAATGACAGCAATTGACCCATATTTTCAAAGTAGTCAACCAGTTAATTTACGTATTGCAACATTTTTACAACCTGTAGTAGATATAAATTCCTATGTATCAACATCAAATGCACCACCATCATTTCAAGTTTTCAGTTTACCGTTATTTACATATACTGGTGCAATTTCATTAATACAAAAGCATAATATTCAAGTAAGTGTATGGAGCTTATATATTAATACATAATCATGTCTAGAGGTTACTTAAGCTAATGGCTGTAGTTCAATACTGAACAACGGAGTTTGAAAAGCACTCAAGACTAAAGAATTGACATTTATTACTTACACTTCACATGTATATGTTCATGATATGACCTTGAATAAATATGCGTCAACCAATAATATTGATGCTCAGATTAAGTAACCTTTCCTGTATTCCTCAATTGGACATAAGATGAAGTCAACTAATGTAAACTCTGTATCCTTTAATTAAAAAGCTTACAAAAATTATACATATGAACTAGAAGGACTACAATATAGCATAAACATGAACTCAGAATATGACCCCAAATAATAATAAATTCGAAATGATTTTTGGAGTACGGAAAAAACAGAGTGCAACAGTTATCAATTCAAATGAAAGTTTACAATTAGGAAAACAGAAAACAACGCGAAACATATGTTTGAGAAGTACGCGTTCAGCAAAAGATATATAAATTCCAACCTCTAAGATAAAAAGCTTTCAAATTTGATTATTTTAATTTATTTTTCTTTGTTTCAACAGTTTATTAATTCAAAAAACATTTGACTCAGTAATCTGAAGTTATTGCACTTATTTAGTGGCATGTGTTAGAATGGAAGTAGGGCTCACCGCTTTAGTAGCCCACGATCTGACTCCAATTTGGACGAAGATTAGTTTATGCCACGAAACAAATACTTACTTCAATTTCTCATAGCATGCTTAGATGAACCCCTTTTTTTGGCATCCGTAACAAGACCAAGAGGGATTTAGTTGGATGAATTTATTACCTGGAATCGTTCACGCAGACAGACATGAGAATAAAAAGCTTTGAAGTAAAGAGGAAAGTATGTGAGTTTGAGTTAAGTTTGCCAGTATCCCGAAGAAAGGCCGTACCAAACACTTGAAGCATGCACATAAACACTTAAATAAAAATAACCAAAGTTACATGCGAATAAGTGACAAAGTCGAAAGACATGAGAATAACAGCTCAAGGTGTTATAATTACTAGTACAGGTTTGTGTTATATCATAGTTGATATTCAAAACTAAAAACGGATTCAAATTTATCATGTGCGCATTACATGAGGATGACTCAATACTGGCTCGTTGGTGAATATACAAATGTCAACAGTGACTGGTCACTTTTCAGTCCTTTTTATTATCAAAAAAGTTAAACTTTTACGAATATCACAAATGAATAGTTATATATATATATATATATATATATATATATATATATATATATATATATATATATATAGTTTTACCTACATGGTCAAATTAAATACAACATAATTAATAATAATTCTTTAATTTTTATAATGATTGATAATATTTTTACTTGAACAAATGAACGGCATATATTTTCAAATATTTACAAACATATTCAACCACGCATTGTTTATGTGCCAGTACTTCTTTAAGCGTCTTGTCATCAACATTTTAAATTTTCTAAAATCAAAATGACATACACGCTTGATTCTTAATTATTTTTCTTCATAGTCACTTCACCAGTCTACCTTCTTTATGTGATTCACCTTTAAGTTTGTTTAAACTTGAAATTGGCGCCAAATTCCTTCAATTTTGTTACTTTGTTTTAATTCTATGTACAATGTCAAACTGGAATACATAACTGCAGATCCACATTTTGTGCGCATTTGTGTATGCGTATTCAAATATATATTACAGTTAATATTAGGGAAAATATGTCACCACTATTACTGCTACTACTTTTTCTTCATAGTCAACCAACCTACTTTATGAACATAACAATAAAATGTTCAATAGTTCCAATTAACAATGAGTTAACAATAATAAATAAAAAATAAATTTGACACTAACTAGCCAGTTCAGGTAACTGATTAATAAAGATCAGACAAGCATGACCAAAATCAAAGCTATGTGTATAAAAGAACAATAAAAACACTGATGATAGTAGTTTTTAACTGCACACACTTATAGTCAGTTGGCACAATAATTCATTTATTAACTAAGTAGAAGTGTATTCGTTAGGATTTTCTTTGAAAATCTCTTACTACTATATTTCTATGTATAACTGAACACTGTGTATGCTAATGGGCGCCTGTACTTGTTATGGCTAGTTTCATTTGACATTCATTCATGCATTCTATTTTGTAGTTAATACGATGAAAGTTGCGGGTTTAAAAATAATTATTAGAAAAGTAATTAATTATAATAAGTGATTTGAACATTTAATGAATTTCAGCTTTATCTCATTGAACGCTTACCTACTAACTTCATCTTCTATACATCTTAACAGTTTATATGAGATTTTTATTTAAATTTTCGTAATAATCTCGAGATCTTTTTGAACAAACTAAATAACTGACTACGTACTGTAAGTGGGAAAAATGTTAAGTATCCAATAAATAAAATGTATGACGTCTACATATAGCTGAAAATAAGTTAAGAGAATAAAAATATTTTTTGAAAAATTTTTGTAAATTGGTTAAAAGTTTATGGTTTTACGAATTTGTTCGGAAAAAATGTCAAGTATTTTGTTTTCTAGATAGTCATCCATGTAAGTATCACTTTACTTCGTTTGACCTTGTCATTTCTGTTTGATTGAATAGATGCTTAGTAACAGATTGTGAATATTGTACATGCATTTTCAAATGTAACACATTATTGAATTAATTCCGTGCTTTTAAATTTATCAACCTGACTATAACTCTTTAGTACTGAATCGCATGAAAACTCGTGGTATTTGAGTACTATTATAAATATTACAAGTTATATAGTGAATATGATGTTTTTTATTCAAGAGAAAGATTTAATTAAGGAAACTGTAGATTTTTCAGTGATAATCTTTTCTTTTTAAACACTGAATAATATCGATGAAATTAAATAAATGTTTACCAGAAACTGAGCCAAACATTTCAGTAAGAAAAGATAAACTACATCATCTAATAGATGGATATGAATACGTACGTAGTAGAATTATCATGAATTTCTTCTCTTATGATAAACCTGGTGTATTTCGTCATAAATAATAATTATTTTTCATAGTCAAAACTACCGACTAGTTGAACAATCAATGATAATCTGGAAGTACTGGACACCTGCTTTGGTCTAGTGTGGGAATTTAGCCACGTCAATCTTGAGACGATAACCAACTAATAGCATTGAAAGATAGTTCAGTAATATTATGAAAAGCTTCAGGTATAAGCAGACAGACTCTGACTCAGTTCTGTAAATGTTAACTCCTTGTCACAAGACGTGAAGGGCCTATATTCATTTCTCATTGATCTCATGAGAGCGTATTGTTGAGGAGTCCCTTACCAAGATGAAACAACGACCAATTATCCATTGGTTTTCATTAATTGTTTAAACAAGATCAGATCACTGATGTCAGCTATCAAATTCAACATTCTACATGAACCTTTCATATCGTAATAAAAGTTTTTTCAGCCATTCTAATTTAAAGTTTTCTTAACCATACTTTGTTTCTTTAAATTGTAGGTTGTTGGTTATATTGATGAAAGTATGATTGTCTATACTATCAGATCAAGGTTGAATGAAGAGATTAATTTCAATAATAAATTAGAAATAAATAAACCCCAAGGTCAACTACTATTGGATAGTCAGTCAGCATATGATGTAAATTTCGGTCCACCACATATTGCTTCTATGAGTTTAGCATACATACATAACGGTGAATATGAACCGACTGTTGAAAGAATTCCATTATCGATAACAATTCCTAGTTTAATTAATTCACGTTCACGAATAAAACGTGAACAATTTTTACAAAACACTACTATAGATAATGATTATTCCAGCGTAAGTAATAAAAATCATTATCAAAATCATGGAGATTATTTAAGATTGAATGATCATAGTAAACCGGGCAAAAAACATAAAAGAACAGCACAAAGTTTGCCAGTTATACAGTTAGAATTATCAATAAGAATTGTTCGATTATATAATAACGTAAGTTATTTTTAACTGAATATAATCACAAGTTATTTTTTTTTTGAAAATTTATCTAATGTAAGAAATCTGTTTTTTTAACAGTATAACAGTGAAAGCTTTGTTACGTAAGAAAGTTTTCAACTGACTGCTGAAATGATCAAACGGATATGTTATGCTTTATGAATCATTTAGCTAAAATAGAGTTAGATACACTTTAAATATTTTGGAATGGGTTGTCATCAGGATTCACTAGGTAAATGGATAACGCGATGGTGTTTGTAGTGGAAGATATTGGGTTCGAGTATCGGAGTGAACATCAACTCTAAGATGAAGGTACATCTAGTTAATCCGTCCCAAATAAGACGAAATGCGAGTCCTGAATTCCACTGCTAGCCATATTCTATTTATTTAAAATAAAAGGATTAGATAAACTCCATATAAAGGCATCACTAACGCATGAATTGAATAAATAAATTTAAATTAAATAATTAAAACCTTTAAATTTACAAAACATTTTCAATCAAAATAGCTAACTGTTTTCACTCATATCATATTAACCAGCCGTTCAATGTTACAATTAATTGTTTTGACTAAGTTAATGTTATTCATTATAGTATTTTGGAAATTGTTGTTATCAAATGAAACCATGAATCAATCGTTCTTAGACCACTATTAGAGACCTTGAAGCACTTGACGACCGTTTCGTCTCAGTATTGGACTCTTCAGCTAGCGAGAGTCAAACCCAGGACCTTCGGTCTCGCGCTCGAAAGCTTAGCCTCTAGACCAGTGGGCCTACATCTAACGGTATTAATTTCTAACTTTGATCGATCTAAGGATTCTGTGATTATTAGTTTATTGGTTGGCATCCACTGAATAATTGTTCAGTTTAATCATTTAACTTCACTCTCACTTCCAGTCAATAATTTTTGTTTACATAAAATCAACTAAAATATGTTGTTCAGTGGTTAAAGGTATTCAACACAAGACCTTGAATATAGGTGTTTTTACTATTTGACAATGTGTACCTACAATCTTGAGAGGACGGATGCTATCTGTGGAATCTGAACTTGTATCATCCTGCTTTACAATTAGAAACATTATGACAGAGTTATTTGTCCCACGACTGACCTCCAACGGAACTGAGAATTTTACGAAACCTAGGTTGAAGAGTACTTTACGACTAGCTTCAAACACCTTACAATATTTAGGTTGTAATAGCTGAAGTGAATCCATGAAATACATAAATAAATTCAAATTATTTATTCACTATTTCTAGTTTTATTAAATTCTTCTATCAATCATTCTTCATTTAGAAGATAACTGTTAACAAAACAATGTGAAATACTAACAAGCATCTACTTTAGACAAACATATATTCATCAAACTTGTCATTAACAATTAAAATCATTGTCTGTAATTTCTACTTTTACATAATTTATAGTCAAATAAAAATTCTGTAATTTACTATGTAAGATGCTTATTTTAATTATGGTTATTAACATTATTGCGTTGATGATGTAAAAAAGGTATACAATGCGAGAAACTGTTTTAACAGCTACACTTTGTTATATGTGTAAATTTATGTTCAATCCAATGTAACATCTATCTTAAATGAACATTGTTTAACACAATAAAAAAAAAACATTACTCGATGAGAATGAATAGATAGTAGTGAGTAAAAAAACATCGTCCGTATATACCGATTATAATGTTAATTTTTGACTTAAATCTGATCAATCTTGGTTAATATGTGGGTATGCAGTGAAGAATCCCTTGATCTTGTCATTGTAACATAAGTTTATATAGGACATGGAACTGCGCTTGAAGTGGAACTAAGGACATATGTTTGGTCGGATGCAACTGCCGAATCCCTGAGCTTATATACACTGTGGGATGCAAACCCGATGTCATTCGCTTCAACCCCCACTAAGTTATCTATTTATCTTCAGAGTTCACAGAGCCACTCATTTGCCTATATAATATCAAAAAGAGATAATCCAAACCATTTTAAGTTGAATTACATTTCATATCCATCGCACAAGTTAGTGGCTACCTGAACTCAGTGAATAAGTTGATTATGTGATGGCGATTGAAGTAAACAGTACTGGATTCAAGCCCCTGAATGCAACTAATGAGTTCCAATTATAACGAAATGTTCGTTTTGGGTTCCACTCTTAGCTATATTCTATCTCACTTGTATCAATCTAAATTATGTGTTATGCAGATCAGTGCTGAGAATTTTTTCGTAAAAAAGAGACTATCAGTATGGATGATAAAAGATGGAAGTATAAAAATAAGTGGAGAAGTTGTTTAACTGTTTTGTTCCATATAAAATGCCTTATTAGTGCATATTTATGTTATATTTATATTATATTATTATATATTGTGTATTATAAAAGTTCTATATTACATATATTTTATGAATCAAATTGATACTGATGTATGAAATAATTAAATTGAAGCTAATCATCATTCATTTTGAATCCGTTCAGTATTCAGCTTATTTAAATTCAATAAAGAAATTCCATCACATTTCACAAACCCATATAATCTAATTACATCCTTAGACCATTGCAATGTTTACTCAGAAATTTGCTGGAAATTAGTATCATATAAAAATGTTTCATGCTACATACTAAAAATTAGGTTGTGAAACACCAAAAATCTTTAAGGACTTGATAATTTTACAATTCAGGTTTCAAACTTCTAAACGATGTGCATTCACAGTCAGATAAAGTTTTCTTAGCTCTGACTTCGATCCATATTTTCAATCATAATCTATTTGTAATATGGTTTATTGACCATACAGTGTCATCGATTCGTTATTCCTGACAAAAGGTACTTCCATAGTCATAAGTTCGAACAAGTGTTTAGCAAATTGTATACCGAGAAATACCCATTTACAAACCGACGAAAAGCATATAGTTGTTTGTTATTAGCTCAATGGTAATCTCTTGGATGGTGCAAATGGTTTAACCAGGTCTCAGACCCCGAAGACAGCACCAGGTTTGTGGTTTCCTATAAACCACTACAATCAACTGACTTGTTTTTAGTATATTTCATAAAAAACGTTTAGCTGAAATGAAAGATAATGTTTTTGAAGATGTAGATGTCTGACAACTAAAGCATTTTTCTAAATTCATTAGGATATATATAACTTGTTGATTATTAAAGGATAACTGAATATACTAAGATCGTATCTACAATGAAGAATCTCATGAATAATCAGTTTCAAAAATATAATATATATATCGCGGACTGATTGAAATTTGCCATTAAGACCGCTCAATGGTCTAGAGGTCAAGGGTTCGTGCGCGAAACCGAAGGTTCTGAGTCTCATTCCTGTTCATGGCGTCGTGGATGCACATCGCTGATGATTTCCATACTAGGACGTGTAGTGCTTCTCGGCTTATAATGGTGGTATAACAGTGATACATTCATGATTTCAATGATATTCCACAATCTCTACAATCTTATAATAATTTAATTAAAGGATTTCTAGAGATAAATTTAAGTCGGATTTTTCTCATGAAACGTCCTATTAAAAATTATTATGTATCCTCAGTAGTGACGGTATAAATATGTTTTAATGAAATACGAGATTTGAAAGCTTAGATTCTGATTTCAGTATGTAAACTTTGAACTTAAGCTACTAAATCAGATCCTAATTTCAATTCCAGGTTTAGTTGTAGATGGATACTGACTGCTAAGAAGTTTTGTACCAAAATGGAACATTTATCTAGTTCACTTTTGCTTTTTAAGGATTTATTAGTCAGTAAAAACATGTGAATAAATCCAATCCCCGTTTCCTTTTAATATTCATTTTACAAAGATGTTTAAGAAATAATAATAATAAATTTATTTATCTTGTTTACAGTTCAGCTCATCTTTTTTATCAAAGAGTAACTTTATTTACATTTTGTTTTCAGATTAACAATGGTGCTTTAAAATCAGGTAATACATTTCATTTGCCTACATTATCATCAGTATGTTTTACAGCAGAAGACTTTCTTACCACAGAAGCATTGAACGCTGCACGTCAAGATATGATTAATTTAGCATTTGTTATCAAAGTTGCACCTAGTCAAGGTGTACTAGTTCGATTGCCAATTGTGAAAAATTTCACTACTTATCATTATCTTCGTAAAAATAGTCAATACACTGGTAATCATAATAAACAATTAGATATGAAATATTTTACCGATGATGAAATCCCAGTAGATAATGATGAAATGATAATGGTTGAACAACAGGAATTAATTGAAAAATCACAAATTGGTGTCATTCTTTTATCGGATTTAGAAACAGGTGAAGTGTGCTACTTAAATCAACGTCATGATCGTTCAACTGATTTAATGGGTATTAAACAAATTGGTCGAGTTGATTTCCCAACGGTTTACATGACTTTTGAAATACAAGTGAGTTATTGGTTCCACTTTGGTGTGTAGTAACAATAATTATACAAACAGTTACAAATATGTTAATAATTGTTACACAGATTAATTACCATCTAAGTTCAGTATCTTAATGGGAATGTAATCACTCTGGAATAGCAATCGATACTGGGTTCTAGTCTCAGTTTAAACATTACCACAATACTGAAGACATATGACTGGCAAGTTTCATATCGTCGAGATGGATGCCATGATTTGCACTACTTGCTACAATTCTAAATTATATTATTATTTCTACTGTTTAAAAATTCCTGTCATTTATCAAAATACTGATGTAAAAATTAAAAAAATTTTATCAATAAATCCATAGAATTTCATACATTATCCAATCTTCTCTACCAAACATTTGATCTGAATCATTATTTATCTATGCTACACATAAATACTCTGATAACTAATATCATTTAAGTTCATTTAACGTTAAAACTTATTTCAGTTAACATTATGTGAATCGTTTCAACATCAAAAATTTTATTCTCACTTACAAATACATCTAAATTCATATGAAATAATTTCTAAATGATCTGTTTGTCTCAATCACTACCATTTTATAAATTTTCAACTCGAATATGTAGCTGTAAGCAATGGATCAGTGTCTAGCTCTAACAAGAAATTCCCTGGGTTCCATTGAGAAGCTGTGAACAATCGAGCTAAGTCAAAGATGATCGCACAATATCGTGGATTGGTCGAAGTTAGACATTAACACCGTCGGATGCCAACTCAGTCGTCTGGATGTCAGAAATTCATACGCGAGATCAAGGGTCCTGAGTTAGATTCTCAAGTGCGAGGTCGTGGATGCTTTTTGTTGAATATTCCCAAACCCAAACTTAATGATCTTCCAGTATGTACAGATTTTAAGCAGTTGTCTAACTTAGACTGGTTCATGATTTCAATGAAAATTACTTATTAAAAGAGATATCCTTCGTTCATATATCAGTTAATTGCTATTTTTATTGATAACTGATTAGTAAGGTTTCATAATTTCAGAAAAACAGTTGATTGCTTGACTCTTTGGTATAAATTCATTCTTTTGGTTTAACAGAAAGTCGGGTATAGTTTGATTAACTGTGTTCAAGCTGAAGAGGTGTATTCGTCAATAACAGTGACAGATTTTCCTATGTATACCATAAATTATACTGTTTATTTAAAATAAGCATTAATTTTTTATTCCTTGAAGTTAAATATCGAATTCCGAATCGAAGAATAACTCAACTAAATTTACTTTTAAAAAAATTAAAGCTTTATTAGCGACAAACCATTATGAGTAGTAATTTTTAGAACTATCAGGAATCGTGAATAAAACAAAAATGATTGTTAGTTTGTTAGTAAACTAAAATCCGAAAATCGATAGTCTAATCGTAGTTGCTTCTGATGTACAGATTATAGATACATGAAAAAGTATACATTTTTCTGAAAATTATGATCTGAATAAATTGAAATCTGTGAACAAATCCATGAGTGGTATGTACCGTAAAACTATATAATACGCTTTATTAATAGCATAAAAATCTTTTTTATCTTCTTTTATTCATCTTTTTATTAAAACTAAATCATCTTGTCTTTTTTTTCTACTCTATCTCATCCAAAAATATTCTATTTCATAAAAGTCTCCTATACCTATTGTAATCGTTGAAAGAATAGATCCAAATGTTGTGTTACGTGTACGTGAAACTGCTTCATACATTCCATTAACATCATTACATTTAAATTATGGCATAGAATGGAATATACCATCACAAAGTTTTGAGCAATACAACCAGTCAATAATTAATAATCTTGGACCAGAAAATATTGTTTATACTATACTTCAAACACCTCGATTAAAACATTTAGAAGATATAACAAATATGCATAAACATGCATATATTGGAACACATGATGCTGGACGGTTAGTTAGTTTATCATCGATTATATCTAGTACACATGTTGGTGATATGAAATTACAAGCTGGTTTAGCAATTAATCTACGTAAAGCTCAAGTACCATGTGTTATAAAATTTACACAAAGACAAATTGATGAAAATGATATTGTTTATGTGCCACCAACTCAAGATATAGGATATACAGTAAGTAGAAATAGTGCCATTATATATCATATATACATATTCAATTAGCTAAAGAAATTTTTATAAATTATATTTGTGAACACTTAATTCCGTTTGAGATATCATTAAAATTAGAACAACATATGTAAGCGAACAATATTGTTTTCGATTAGATCGTTATCAGGATATACTCTAATGAATATGAATATTCATATGAAAATGTTAAACCAATCAAGGCAATTTGAATCAATAATCAGTCAGTCAGTTGCAACGTGGAACTTCGTACGTGTGTACATAAGTTCAGGTTGCCATACCACATCAGCACAGAAACACAACAATCAGTTCAAATCCAACAGCGATAGCGATAGTAGAAGTATTAGCCGTAATCAAGAAGATTAGGCAGCGAAGATATGATTCGAGTAGTATAATTCAGTGAGATAGGGTTAGAAAGACAAAAGCAGAGGTGCTAACGAATCCAGAAGATTAGGATTTGAGAGAGCTCAAAGAATGGATGCACTTGCGCCAGACGGTTGCCACTGTCTGTTCTTTGAGCCGCGACACCATAACATCCACCAAGGTGTCTCTCCTGCTCACTTAGTCTACCTACTTGAGCATTACATTCATCAGCCATTATGACTACATCAGAGAGCCTAGCGTTTTGGAGGAGGTTCGAAAGCTTTCTGTAAAACTTATCTTTCACCTCGTCTGAACTGTAGTCAGTGAAGGCATAGGCAGATACGACGAAGAGGCAACGACGCGTGTCCCTATCTTTCCGAGTCCTTACTGTCCCGTTCAGTCGGACAGCGCACAAGCGACTATCTGCAGGGATCCAGTCAAGGGAAGCTAGCTCTATCCTACGACTCAATGCTATGCCTACACCAGCGAGACCCCTGGAGGCAGCATCAGGGCTACCGGATACACGAAGGGTATATCAAGTCGCCTCCTTATCTTGACATGGTGAGGTCAAATTAGTGATGCTACTCGGATCCTGTATGCGCGTTTCCGAGACGCAGCACACATCGATGAAACGAGATTCTAAAGTCCTAGCTAATGAAGCCTGTTGCCCTATCTGACACAATGTCCATACATTAAATGCTCCAACATGTAGTTTGGAACGGGGTTTAAGGAGACCAGGAACGACGTTTCGAGGACTCGAATCGTTTGCAGCAGAGGTGCAGGGAGATAAAGGAATGTGAGAAGAGTTAGTCGTGGAGATAAGAGAGATAATAGGGGGTGTAGGAGGGATTTGATTTTGACCAATTCGGTCTCTCGTGCTGTTTATGGGTATGAGGACGGTTGTCACTTCCCGGCTGCCCACACCGTTGAAGGTTGTTTCTTGAGGAACCTGAAAAACAAAGATAGATTAGTGTTGGTCTTAACGACCTGGTTGCGTGACCACAGAGTCCAAGGGACAACTGCTTGAGGCCGGTTGCGCATGGCCTTTTTATGAAGGGTTTTTTGAGGATTAGCTCCACTCTTGAAAGCCCATAGTGGGCACCCTTACCCAAGGAGACGGAAATCCGTGAGGTAGGGTGAGGTGTGACATTTTTACGGTCGACCTTTTCTAACCCTTCCTTCCTTGTGAGAAGGCAGCATCGCTGCAGATGCTGGTTGTCTCAGGGAAACACCTTACTGCTGTCACAGTCAGCAGTACGACTTCGCCCTCAGACCTTGAGTAGCTGCTTTTAGTCTCATCGTTCTCCAATCGACCTGCCTGGCATGACAGAATCTTCAGGAACATATGTTCCAGCCAGTATGGCTCTGTTGGGTCACCACGATAGGCAAGCCCGATCACCACGTCAAGGTAGCAGCTACGGTCGGGTGAATCAATAATCACAATGAAAATGAAATAGATTACGTCACTACACATAAAAGTCAAAAGTACAAGTTGATAGTAGGAAGACAGGTGTACTGATAGTAGTCAGAAAAACAAAAAACGATGACAAAAGTTTTATTAATCTTATGTCAAACGTGGACTCAAATCGCCTTGATTAGTTAAGCATTTTCGTATAAATATTCATGTATATTAGAGTAAAGCCTGATGACGATCTAATCGAAAACAATATTGTTAGCTTATATGTGTTGTTCTAATTTTCACAATCGGAATCTTTAGTTTCATTAAAAATTAAAGAGCATTGGATTGATGTTTCCTAGTAGTACAGGATTTTTCGTAGCAAAGAGGATTGTATTCAGTACCTTCAAATCTCAAAAAGAATTCCTAACCACTGAAGTTACAGGATTAGCATTCACTGATACGATTTCAGCTTAAAATTGTCTGTGATGTAGCGTGACAGTTAGTGAACGTCAGTGATAACAACCATCCAGTCTAAACTCTGGCTGTTCATTGTCTGATCGTGGATCGTCTTTCCAATACAACTTGATCCGAATTGTATATAACAAATCACTCAACTTTCCAGTCCAGTGATAACGTACACCAGTTCAGAAGCACTGTTTTGAATTTGAAAGTAGATAATTCTGTTTAAAACATTATTGTTGAAAGCAACAGAGAAAGCATTCAGCCAATGTATTATCAACTGAAGTTAATTTGTATATTTAACAGATTCAGTATGACTGCGCTTACAGTAATTCTTCTCATGAGATGAAGAAGAAAATCGATGATTTAATGTGGTTGTTTATAAATTATCGTTTAAAGATTGAAAACACTAAAAATACATTTACCTTCATATTAGAATTAAACGTTTTTGAGAAACATATATGCCCACAATTTCGATACCCGTACATTGTAATTAATTACTTCTAAAGGTATTTATTTTTCATTCAGAAACGATATTCACCGACTAAATATCAAAAGTGAAAAGATTTTAGTCAAATATATTTTTAATAATGGAATATCAAATTGATTAATTGATTTTCTATTACTATTTATTCAAGGATCAAGACATAATAATACGTTATACTGTTTCTGGTCCCGGTGGTTATGAATTAAATAATCGTGAAATAAGAATACAACTAGTAGCTGAAGATAATCAGATACCACAAATTAAAGTAAATCATTTGGTGATTTATTTATCTTTTAATGGTATAAATTTCATACTATATTAAAACAATTTTTAAAAATTTAAACATTAGGGGCTACTGCTGGTCCCAAGCCCGGATAAAGGAGGAGGGTTGGACATGGGGTTGGCGACCCCATTCCGTTGAAATCTCACTTGACAAAAAAACGCTAACCAGAAAAAATAATTCAAACCATTTTAACTCTGCCCTGGGAGTTGGAAGAAGAATTATGACGTCTCGTGATGAAAGCCGAGTTCCCTCGGAAGTTACGGGACTGATGCCTCTTCTGACAACCAGAGCAACCATTTTTTTAGGTACATGGAACGTTCGTACATTGTGGGAGACTGGAAGACTATTTCAAGTTGCGGCAGAAATGAAACGATACAACCTCGAGGTGCTTGGAATCAGTGAAACGCATTGGACATAAGTAGGACAACTGAGACTAGCTTCAGGGGAACTGCTGTTATACTCTGGTCATGAAGAGGAAAACGCTTCACATACACAAGGAGTTGCACTGATGCTGTCCAAACATGCACAAAAGGCACTGATAGGATGGCAATCTCATGGGCCGAGGGTCATTAAAGCATCCTTCAAAACAAAGAAACAGGACATTACAATGAACGTCATCCAATGTTATGCACCTACCAATGACTACAATGACGACGATAAAGATCAATTCTACGAAAGGCTGCAGTCAATCGTCGAGAAATGTTCACCAAAGGATTTGACGATTCTTACGGGAGACCTGAATGTCAAGGTTGGAATGGACAACACTGGATATGAAGACATCATGGGACGACATGGACTGGGAGAAAGGAACGAAAATGGTGAGAGATTTGCAAACCTATGTGCCTTCAACAAACTGGTTATCGGTGGCACAATATTCCCGCACAAACGCATTCACCAAGCCACATGGATTTCACCGGACCACACTACTCAAAACCAAATTGACCATATCTGTATCAACAAAAAGTTCAGAAGGACCATGGAGGATGTGAGAACCAAGAGAGGAGCTGATATAGCTTCAGATCACCACTTGCTGATCGCCAAAATGAGATTGAAGCTAAAGAAGCACTGGACAACGGGGCAGACAACATCACAGAAGTTTAATACAGCCTTTCTTCGGAATACCGTAAAACTCAACGAATTCAAGATAGCCCTCACCAATAGGTTCCAGGCCTTTCAGGATCTATTCAATGGAGAGGAAGCAACATTGGAGAACAATTGGAAAGGGATTAAGGAGGCAATCACTTCAACATGTCAGGAGGTCCTTGGACGCAAGAAGCACCATCACAAGGAATCTGTGTTGGTACTCTTGAAAAAATTGAAGAAAGGAGGAACAAGAAGGCAGCAGTGAATGTCGGCCGAACAAGAGCAGAGAAAGTTAGGGCGCAAGCCGAGTATACAGAAGCAAACAGGGAAGTAAAGTAGAGCATCAGAGCTGACAAACGAAAATATGTAGAAGATCTAGCAATGACGGCGAAAAAGGCTGCAGGAGACGGAAACTTGAAACAATTGTACGAAACAACAAAGAAGCTCGCCGGAAACTATCGTAAACCAGAACGACCAGTGAAAAGTAAGGAAGGCAAAGTAATCAGCAACACTGAAGAACAACGAAATAGGTGGGTAGAGCACTTTAAGGAACTATTGAATCGACCAGCTCCACTGAACCCACCCAACATCGAAGCAGCATCCACGGATCTCCCAATTAATATTGGCGCACCTACGATTGAGGAGATCAGTATAGCCATCAGACAAATCAAGAGCGGCAAAGCAGCAGGACCAGACAACCTTCCAGCAGAGGCAATGAAAGCAGATGTGGAAGCAACTGCGAAAATATTTCACATTCTCTTCAACAAGATTTGGGATGAGGAACAAGTACCATCAGATTGGAAAGAAGGATACCTGATCAAAATACCAAAGAAAGGCGATCTCTGCAAGTGTGAGAACTACAGAGGCATCACTCTTCTTTCAATACCAGGCAAAGTCTTCAACAGGGTATTGTTAAACAGAATGAGAGACTTCGTAGACGCCCAACTTCGAGATCAATTGGCTGGATTTCGTAAGGATCGATCGTGTACTGACCAAATTGCTACATTACGGATCATTGTGGAACAATCAATTGAATGGAACTCACCACTCTACATCAAATTCATCGACTACGAGAAAGCATTCGATAGCGTGGATAGGAAAAAACTGTGGAGGCTTCTTCGACACTACGGTGTGCCTGAGAAAATAGTTAACATCATACGGAACTCTTATGATGGATTCAACTGCAAAATCGTGCACGGAGGATAGCTAACCGACTCTTTCGAGGTGAAGACCGGTGTCAGACAAGGTTGCTTACTCTCACCCTTTCTTCTCTTTCTCCTGGTGATCGACTGGATTATGAAGACGTCAACATCTGGAGGGAAGCACGGTATCAACTGGACAGTTAGGACGCAGTTGGACGATCTGGACTTCGCAGATGACCTGGCTCTTCTATCGCACACTCAACAACAAATGCAAGAGAAGACGACCAGTGTAGCAGCAGCCTCTGCAGCAGTAGGTCTCAACATACATAAAGGAAAGAGCGAAATTCTCCGATGCAACACAACATGCATCAACCAAATCACTCTTGATGGAGATGCCTTGGAGGACGTTGACACCTTTATATATCTTGGCAGCATCATCGGCAACTAAGGTGCATCGGATGCAGATGTGAGGACGCGGATTGGCAAAGCAAGGGCTGCACTTCTACAGTTGAAAAATATCTGGAACTCCAAACAACTTTCAACCAAAACCAAAATCAGGATTTTCAGTACAAATATCAAGACAGTTCTACTCTATGGAGCTGAAACATGGAGAACTACCAAAGCCATCATCCAAAAGATACAAGTGTTTATTAACAGTTGTCTACGCAAAATACTTCTTATTCGTTTGCCAGACACCATCAGCAACAACCTACTGTGGGAGAGAACAAACCAGATTCCAGTGGAGGAGGAAATCAGGAAGAAGCGGTGGAAGTGGATAGGACACACACTACGGAAAGCACCGAACTGCGTCACTAGACAAGCCCTCACATGGAACCCTCAAGGCAAAAGGAAAAGAGGAAGGCCAAAGAATACATTACGCCGGGAAATAGAGAAAGATATGAGAGGAATGAACAAACATTGGACAGAACTGGAGAGGGAAGCCCAGGACAGAGTTGGTTGGAGAAAACTGGTGGGCGGCCTGTGCTCCATTGAGGGTAACAGGCGTAAGTAAGTAAGTAAGTTAAAAATTTAAAAATTGATCATTTCCATTAACTACGTACCTAATTACTTACGCCTGTTAACCCCAATGGAGCATAGGCCGCCGACCAGCATTCTCCAATCTACTCTATCCTGGACCTCTCTCTCCGATTCCGTCCAATTTTTGTTCATTCTTCTCGCGTCTGTCTCCATTTCTCGGGTGTAATGTGTACCTTGGCCTTCCTCTTTTCCTTTGACCCTGAGGGCTCCAGGCGAGGACTTGTCTTGTGACGTAGTCGTATGCATTCCGCAATGTGTGTCCCATCCACTGCAATCGCTTCTTCCTGATTCCCTCAGCAGGTAATTGCTGATGGTGTCTGGCCAACGGATCCGAAGTACTTTGCGTAGACAAAAGTGTTCACAAACACTTTTATCTTCTAGATGATGGCTTTGGTAGTTCTCCATGTTTCAGCTCCATACAGTAGAACTGTCTTGACATTTGTATTGAAAATTCTAACTTCAGTGTTTGTTGACGGTTGTTTTGAGTTCCAGATGTTGTTCAATTGTAGAAATGCAGCCTTTGCCTTGCCGATCTGCGCCTCCACATCTGCATCAGATCCATCTTGCTCGTCAATGATGCTGCCCCGATATGAAAAGGTGTTTACGTCCTCAAAGGCATTTCCATCAAGAGTGATTTGGTCGGAAGATGTTGTGTTGTAATGGGGAATCTTGCTTCTCCCTTCATGTATGTTGAGACCTACTGCTTCTGAGGCTGCTGCTACACTGGTCGTCTTCTCTTGCATCCGTTGTTACGTGTGCGATAGAAGAGCTAGATCATCTGCAAAGTTCAGATCGCCCAGCTGCATCCCGGTTGTCCACTCTACCTCGTGCTTCCCTAAAGATGTTGACGTCTTCATAATCCAGTAGGGACAGCTCACGCGATCTCAAGTCATTTTGGACATCAATCACATTACAATTTTATCTATAGAATCTGGTGAACGCTGAGGACTTGATGAATATAACGTTGGTTACTACGTAGCAATCTATCAATGTAATTAAAGTTGAGTAAATGAAATAATCTATTCCAAGATAACGATTTAAATCTATCGTACTCTTTAAAAACCAAAGATGATCTGTGGATTCTCCTTAATAATAATTCCCTCACTAAGATGAAACACCTGTTTAATAAGTCCAAGTACTCAACGGTTTTTCCTACTCCTCGGTAGTCGACATTCAGAAAACTGTTAGCATAATGTTGTGAAGATTGTTGAGTTCCATTGCGATCATGAACCAATCGACGTTATGCAACCACTGAAAACCTGAACGCACTAAACTGACATTTCGTCCTGGTATGAGACTCCTCAACACTTCACATTCATGGCTCCACCAGCGGAAACTGAACAGAAAACTCCCGGTCTTGGACGCAAGTGCTTGACTTGTATACTCCTGAACCAAAATGCTATGGTGTACAAGTTCAACTACATCCAATCGAAAATACTGCGCGACCGTCTTCCATTGTCTTTTTAAAAACGTAAAACTAATATTTCTGTGAATAAAATATATATACACTGGGTCATTAGATCAAAAACAAATAAATTGAAGTGAGTATTTTTAATCATCCAGTTGTGTAATCCTTAGGTACTCCTTAGTGTTCAGTAAAGCTCCAGATAGTTACCAAAGGTCATTTTTCGTACAAATAGTAAACTAACTAATGAACGGCTTTTGTAAAACTTGCAATAGAAAATCAATTTCGCTGACACTTGAAGTAAAAGTCAGATTATTATTCTAAATACATAACACGATAAAGCATATATCTAACTTCAAAAATGTCTTTTTTAGATTTTAATACGATGGAAACTATATAAAGTGATTATTTTTGAACATATTTATTCATTGTTCAATTGTTACAAAACTGTATCGTTCATTCATTGAATATTATTAACTTTTTTAAACTAGATCATCTCCCCTTTAAGATTACATCGTGATGGTGAATTATTCATTGATTCAAGTGTGTTATCAGTCAGTGATTTAGATACACCAGAAGACAAATTATTACTTCAATTTGAACGTTTACCAAAATATGGTAAAATTCTATTAAATCTTATTCAATCTACTCAATATCATCAAATAAATGAAAATTCAAATAAATCACAATATTTACCAGTTGTTAAAAATCAAAATATTCCACTTAGTTTGTTTAAGAGCAGAAAATTAATGTATGTTTCTTTTTTTAAAATTTTTTCTTTCTGAATTCTTAATAATTTTAATTTTTATTGTGTAATTGAAATGTATGCATAACTTAAGTTGAAGTTTATAATTTAATTAAAATCTATGAATAAAAATAGTGACAAATGTCAACAAAAAAGACGTGTTGCATAATAAGAGGTTCTTGTTGTTTATTTTCAAAGTTCTACAAAAAATGTATAATTCGAATAATCAATTATTTGAAGGGTATCACACTGAGTACTGAACCGCATGGTGTACGTCTAGCAATGAAAATTTATAACTCTTCAAAAATGCATCATTATTTAAACTTTTCAATTAAACGATTCTTAGTAAATACTTAGTGGAATCAAATATTTACAAAATGCATTAAAATATTTGACAGTAATTGACTGTTCTTTCACCTGCCCCCGGAAATCTTAACCAATCCATTTATGTTATAATCTCTACAGCATTGAAACAGGAAACTTCTTCGACATTATGGAGTGCCTGAGAAAATAGCCAACATGATACGAAGTTCTAATGACGGAATCAACTGCAAAATCGTGCACGGAGGACAGCTAACAGACTCGTTCGAGGAGAAGACTGGTGTCAGGCAAGAATGTTTACTCTCAACCTTTCTCTTTCTCCTGGTCATCGACTGGACTATGAAGACGTCAACATCTGGAGGGAAGCACGGAATACGGTGGACAACCGTCAACAAACACTGAAGTTAGAATTTTCAATACAAATGTCAAGACAGTTCTACTGTATGGAGCTGAAACATGGAGAACTACCAAAGCCATCATCTAGAAGATAAAAGTGTTTGTGAACACTTTTGTCTACGCAAAGTACTTCGGATCCGTTGGCCAGACACCATCAGCAATTACCTGCTGAGGGAATCAGGAAGAAGCGATTGCAGTGGATGGGACACACATTGCGGAATGCATACGACTACGTCACAAGACAAGTCCTCGCCTGGAGCCCTCAGGGTCAAAGGAAAAGAGGAAGGCCAAGGTACACATTACACCCGAGAAATGGAGACAGACGCGAGAAGAATGAACAAAAATTGGACGGAATCGGAGAGAGAGGTCCAGGATAGAGTAGATTGGAGAATGCTGGTCGGCGGCCTATGCTCCATTGGGGTTAACAGGCGTAAGTATTTAGATAAGTAGGTAAAGGTAATATCGAGGCAATCTACACACTATGTACAATGCCAAAGAAACTGATCAACTGAAATCTTAAATATCAAAGGAAACATTCAAACAACCAATCCTTCATATGTTCTAGCATAACAGTTTAGGATTGATCATTGTCACAAATCATTTCAGTTGGTAATTAAACAGCATCATCTGTTTAATTTTTGCAGCCTATCAGTCAGTCAAACTCTGTATAGAACCTGGCTTTCAGTTTTAGAGATTGATGTTTATTATTGAAACCATGAACCAATGAATAATTCATCAGATTTTTTAAGTGATAGTTTGACTGACATAATAACTACCTTTTCTAAATATTAGTATTCGATAAACCCTTAATAGATACATCATAACTACATCTGGGGGTTTTATCTACTTATTTTCTTAGACCAAATTGTAAACCAATTTACGAATTTAAGTATATTATAGTTTTAGTATGCCAGTCAACCTTAATCAGACTAAAGTTACCGGACAAATATTAACATCTTTAACTTGTCATATTATATCAGTCATGTAACCAATTGTTTTCTTAATATAAATTTCAAACATCACAGAATTCAACTATGATTATAAGAGATCTAATAATGATTATGTCAGCAATGCCATCGATAGTAATAATGATAGTAATAACAGTCGGCTTTATTTATGCATCATAACTGTAAGGTCAGATTATATTATCCGACAATTTAAAAATTTATTTATTCATTTACTGATTAATCGGCTGATTTATTTCACATAATTAATTACTAAGAAAATAATTCATATGTCATACCACATAAACCATTTGTTTTTGAACTTGTATAATGTTAACATTATAAATTATTCTAAAGAGTTGATGACTGAAAATGTTTAATAAAATTATTTTCGTCTCTCTCTCTCTCTCATAGACCAGATTTTTATAAAATAGATGAATTATGGATAACAGTAGAATATAAGACGCACATTTGTCTTGTTTAAGACTTGGTAGCTGGACATACTTGTATCTCAGTGTTAATGCTTAAAGCTTTCGCCTCGAACTCTAATGATCTATTGACTGAGTTAATGTTTATAAATAACTGCTTACTTGTTTAATAGGTATAGCTGTTTCTTACAGTTTGGAACGTTAACTTTATCACAAGTAAAATCAGGTTATCATAGATATATAGTTCAAAAAAATCTACGAAGAGCCATTAATCAGTATTGAATTAGTTGTGGACAATTTTTAGTTACATTCAAGTGTCGACTGAAAAAGGAAACGATTAGTCATGAAATTCATCTGGTTTCTCGATTTTCATTGGTACACACTGATAATCGTTAAAGATATGTTAATGAGACTTGCTTTCATTGCGGTTACATGCAAATTTCTAAGATCTCATCTTTGATTCCATATAGTTCTCTTGCTAACTTCAACATTTTAATATCAACAGACCAGTTGATCAGATATGATTCCTTCACCAATTAATTCTCATCGGTGAAGTCAAAAAGAATTAAGAACGTTAAGTTGTTAAAGATAGTCAATCAGAAACTGTGAAGGATAAGGTTAGTAAAGGCTGGAACGAGCTTTTCATGTCGACTACCTTTGACTATCTCACATTGAAATATAATCCTTGAGATGTCGATTCTCTTAGCTTAACTTGATTGATAGAATGCCATCAACATGGTAGCTTATACTTGCCAATGAGTGTTTGCCAGCAGAATGACAAATAGTATCATGAATGTCCCAAACAGTCTGTTACATAACCTATTATGTTATACAGTGACAACTAGTCAGATTAAATCCTTAGTGTAACACGTATTCACTATTTATGTGTATTTCTCTATTGCCTTGTTATCCTTATCTCACCATAAAATAATTATCAAGTTATCGACAATCTGGTGACAATGTCAAACAAGATGATTTCATTATAACAATAACTGATGGCATTCAAACATCCACACCGTTACATGTACCGATAGAAATTAAACCAAGAATATTACAAGGTAACAAATGGAATCAATTAGTCAATAATACAATATTAGTGAAAGAGAATTCAAGTGTAACACTGACACCGTCTGTTTTCCCAACGGATACAATTGATGTGAATGCATCACCAGCTGATATATTGACTGCTTCCTCTACTGCACCACAATACTTTGTTATTGTATTTCCAACAAAAGGCAATTTATTAATAAATCATAAAAATAAAGTATCACAATTTACATATAAAGATATTTTAGAAAATCGTTTAACTTATCGTCATGGTCCAGCTGAAATCGGTGTTAAAGGAGCTTATGATTTTGTAAGAATATGGGATTTCAGTGCTGGTGAAACGTTCAGTTTAAATTTCACATTAATGCCAGTGAATAGTCAACCGCCAGTACTAAAAAGTGAAACATTATTACAGGTTAGTTTTCTTGATATATATATATATATATATATATATATATATATATATATATATATATATATATATTATTTAAACTAATTCTCTTTTTTCGAAACACTCTGTGTGCTGCTTATTTGGCAATATATATTAGCATTCAGATAAAATAATGAAGAGTTTTAATTTTGACTGGAAGAACATATTGAAAACACAATTCCCAACAAAAAAAATTTTTCATGCCATGTTGAGAAAATTTTCTATGTAAGGTTACGGTTTCAGGCTAAATAATATAATTACTTCAAAGGCATAGCTCAGTCGAACTGGTTAACCAGCATACACAACTGTGAAATATTATATTTATATCATTACTGTTTATTTTAAACATTTAATGTCTGAAGACTGTATTTATTCATGAGCTAATATCAATCGGTCATCCTTAGCGAATGTCATAGAGAATTAGTCAGTTGTTATCTTTTTTCAAATATTACTTTTGGTCTGACAGACGGTCAAGTAAACTACAACTACATAATGGCGCCAAATGCATTTTATCAAGTGTCTGAATTTTACGTCAGTTTTTCGTAATGTTTTGAAATAAATAATTTTGTGAATATTTCGACTGAAATATTTTGAAATCAGCATCATTCCTAATGAAATAGTAAACTTATTTTACTGTCATCTATGGACATTTCCTTTGCTTTAACAGTTTATTTGTTTTTATTTTCAAGGTTAAAGAAGGTGATAGAGTTGAAATTACGCCATATGCCCTGTATGCTACAGATCCAGATACGAATGAATGCGATATACAATTACACGTGATACATACACCGAAATGGGGTCATATCGAATTGGTGAAGAAGTTTATTCATGCTCAACAACAGAATTTCTCCACCAAAGATTCATTGTCCAGTGAATTCGACGATACGGATTCAATAAATATTGAACAAAATTTAGATGAAAAATTAACCAAAGAGCATATTTTAAGTTTTAATATGCAAAATATACGTGACGGTTTAATATATTATGTAAATTCCATACATGGCAATGGTCAAGAATCAATTGAAGATATATTTAGTATAAAAGCATTTGACGGTACTTATTATTCACCGAAAACAATTGAAATTAAAATAGCCATCCAACCAACCAACGATGAAATACCAGATGTTCGCTTACTGAAATATTTTTCTGTACCAATGAATACAAGAAAAGTTTTAACACCATATTTATTTAGTGTTAGTGATATGGATGTACCGAGAGATATGTTACAAATACGTTTTACTGAATTGCCAATTTATGGCAGCTTATCAGTTTATTGGCAACATGGTGAAAAGTACATTATTACACCTCATAGTAATCCAATTACTGAATCATATTTAGGTATGTTAAATCTACTTTATTTACAAAATGGTTCATTAATAAAACCAACAACAATAAGTCAACCATATTCTTCATCAATTATTACAATAGATCGATTTAGTGTGGTAGTATCTGATGGTAAGCATACAGTAGAACGTCAAGCACATGTTCTAATTAGACCAATGAATCAATATCCACCAGAAATGTATATAGATAGTGATCAAATAAATAATGATGGAATGATATTGGATGGTCAACAATGGACACGATTAGATTCTAAACCTGGTGGTCTTATTATTAAAGATATCGATACATCAGAAGATGATTTAATTATAACAATATTGGAAAAACCAAAATATGGTGTAATCCAACGTTTACCACGTATGTTACCTACAGATGGTATAGTTGATAATTTAGATTTAATTGAAGAAGCATGGGATATTGAAGAGATGAAAGCTGGTGATGATTTACAAGCATTAGCACAATTATCAGTTGCAGGAAGTATTGGTGGACCGAAAACAGTTAAAATACTAGATCGTGGTGATCAATTTACAAAACGTCAAATTACTAGTGGTCGAATCCAGTAAGTAGTATGTTTGAAGTCCTTTAATTTATCAATGTATACGATTGTTTAAAATGATATAATTAATGTTAATTTTTTTAAAAGTACATCGAAACCATAAAAGAAACCACATTTAAAGACAAAGGAAAACTTCTCAAAATTATAATGATAAATTCGATGGTGCAGCGGATTTTCTAGCTTAATGAACATACAGTTAACCTCATATATTGCCATTTTAGATAATGTAAGCTATACTACTAGTGAATCGAAATTTTGAATAGCGTCGAATAGAAAAAATCTCTACTGACTGTACACTTAGATCAACCCAGAATTACTAAAGGCAGCAGCATAAGTGGAACGAGTAAGATTATTGAAAGAGTACCTAGTTAGATAAACAGGTTGCCAACTGACAGTTTTGAAAATGTTTGTACAGAATCACGAACTTAATGGATTTAAAAATGTAAGCCACTGGGTTCGGATTCAATAGGCTAAAGGCTAGGCTAGAAACCTGAAATTCCTAAACTTTATCAACTGTGGGGTCATATGTGCACATTCTTGAGTGGTTCTGTGTTAGTGTAGTGTGTACTAATATGTCAAGCCGAAATGAGTTATTCTAGATTTTGGATAGATCGATTAATTTATTGTTCTCTTGCCATTATCTACATACATTTGACCTTGTTAATTCTTCCTTTCATTTGAGTGTCTGTGTGCATCCTTAGTGGTACAGTGTGATAAAGGAATGTGAGAAGAGTTAGTCGTGGAGATAAGAGAGATAATAGGGGGTGTAGGAGGGATTTGATTTTGACCAATTCGGTCTCTCGTGCTGTTTATGGGTATGAGGACGGTTGTCACTTCCCGGCTGCCCACACCGTTGAAGGTTGTTTCTTGAGGAACCTGAAAAACAAAGATAGATTAGTGTTGGTCTTAACGACCTGGGAGCGTGACCGCAGAGTTCAAGGGACAACTGCTTGAGGCCGGTTGCGCATGGCCTTTTTATGAAGGGTTTTTTGAGGATTAGCTCCACTCTTGAAAGCCCATAGTGGGCACCCTTACCCAAGGAGACGGAAATCCGTGAGGTAGGGTGAGGTGTGACATTTTTACGGTCGACCTTTTCTAACCCTTCCTTCCTTGTGAGAAGGCAGCATCGCTGCAGATGCTGGTTGTCTCAGGGAAACACCTTACTGCTGTCACAGTCAGCAGTACGACTTCGCCCTCAGACCTTGAGTAGCTGCTTTTAGTCTCATCGTTCTCCAATCGACCTGCCTGGCATGACAGAATCTTCAGGAACATATGTTCCAGCCAGTATGGCTCTGTTGGGTCACCACGATAGGCAAGCCCGACCATCACGTCAATGTAGCAGCTACGGTCGGGGGTATTTTTAAGCATGATCGTTGACTTTGTGATTCAGCCAATGACTTCTAGGTTCAAGCTATTTTCCACCTATTCCAGTCTGATTTCATCAGGTGCTATTAATAACCTTCACATTCAGAGTGTACCCAAGTACCCGAAGATGAGTTCACTTAGTTTGATATAAATATCAGAGAATTATGTAATATAAAGTGCTTATTTATTTTCAAAGTTCAATACTTTCCGAGTTTATCTTTATCAAGTTATCTAGTAAGTATATTTTAATTCTTCTTATCAAATCATACAACTTTAACAGGGCACTACGATTAAATTTGAAAGTATTCCATACACAATGATGATTAATAATAATAGAGAAAATTGATAGTTTCCTATCTAAGCTGTTTTCTAATTAATGAGGACACCATAAAATTCATATTTTTATGGTTTACCATTTGGAACAACTGAAGATGTATTACAGATGGTAGGTTGTAGAAATATTTTCTGTTAGTAAGATTATATTCACACACTGTCAACAATTAGGATTTACATAAATCATCTGTAGATCATCTGTTCTTGTTTTAACATAATGAAAAAAATTTGTCTCTTAGAATCAGCACTATTATTTAACTGAATCGATCCCCGCTTTTGACTACTGACCCACCAAATTGTGGTTATTAGATGATTTTTCTCTGATATAAATCTAACTTACTTACTTTACATTGAAATCACAAATGAATTATTGTTGGACCACCATGAGAAACCTGGGAACACTGTATGGCCGTTTCATCCTGGTATGGGACTCATCGGTAGTACGCATCTATGACCCTCACACAAGAGCTTCAGTCTCGCGCGAATACTTAAACTCAGGACCACTGATCACGCATTCGACAGAGTTATTGTCTAACGCTGATCAATCTACGGATTTTCCGCAACCGAATCCATTGTCTTCGGTAGTTATAGTCTACACACGACAGGGTAGAACTCCACTGTTCACGTCCATTTTGTAATATTTAACAGAAATCTAAAGCAAACCTAGATTATGCTGATTACTGCTTCACTCCCTATCACTAGTTCAGCTGCCGATAAAAGCAAATCCTGAAGCAACATTTTGCATTTCGAGGGGGAAAACCAAATCCTGAACATGTTTACATTGTTGCGTAGGGTAGTCAGAATGTTGCTTAATGTATTAAGCTGCAGTTGCTGCGACAGCTGCTTTCATTGCCTCTGCTGGAATGCTGTTTGGTCCGGCTGCTTTGCCGCTCTTGATTCGTTTGATGGCCATACTGATCTCTTCAATTTTAGGTGCACCAACATCGATTGGGAGGTCCGTAGATGCTGCTTCGATGTTGGGTATGTTCAGTGGAGCTGATCGATTCAAGAGTTCCTTAAAGAGCTCTACCCACCTGTTTCACTGTTCTTCAGTGTTGCTGATTACTTTGCCTTCCTTGCTTTTCACTGGTCGTTCTGGTTTACGATAGTTTCCGGCCAGTCTCTTTGTTGTATCGTACAATTGTATCAGGTTTTTTCATATTGCAGCCTTTTCGGCTGTCATTGCTAGATCTTCCATATAATAACGTTTCTCCACTCTGATGCTCCTCTTCACTTGCTTATTTGCTTCTGTGTATTCAGCTTGTGCCTTAATTTTCTCTGCTCTTGTTCGGCTGATGTTGATTGCTGCCTTCTTGTTCCTCCTCTCTTCAATTTTTACAAGAGTACCAACAGAGACCCATTCCTTGTGATGGTACTTCCTGTGGGCCAGAACCTCCTGACAAGTTGAAGTGAATGCTTCCTTGGTCACTTTCCAATTGTCCGCCACGGTTGCTTCCTCTCCATTAAGTAAACTGTGCAAGGCCTGGGATCTATTGTTAAGGGCTATCTTGAATTCATTGAGCTTTCCAGTATCCCGAAGAAAGGCCGTATAAAACTTTTTTGATGTTGTCTGCCCCGTTGTCCAGTGTTTCTTGAGTTTCAGTTCCATTTCTGCGACCAGCAATTGATGATCTGAGGCTATATCAGCTCCTTTCTTGGTTCTCATGTCCTCCATAATCCTTCTGAACTATTTATTGATGCAGATGTTGTCGAGTTGGTTCTGAGTAGTGGGATCCGATGAAATCTATGTATATTTGTGTATGCGCTTGTGTGGGAATATTGTGCCACCGATGACCAGTTTATTGAAGATACATAGGTTTGCAAATCTCTCGCCGTTTTCGTTCCTTTCTTGCAGTCCATGTCCTCGCACGACATCTTCATATTCAGTGTTGATCTTTAACGTCTTCATTGTAGTCGTTGGTAGGTGCATATCATTGGATGACGTTCATTGTAGTGTCCTCTCTTTAATCATGCGTCCGTGAAATCCCATCCTATCCGTGCCTTTTGTGCTTTTTTGGACAGCATCAGTGCAAATCCTTGTGTGTGAGGCATTTCCCGGGTTGCGGTTACAAGCTAATTATATGACACTAACAATTTTTAGAATTAAAATTTTACTTCCTTATCATTATAATCTATTCTAAATATCTTATTTTTACAGTTACCTTTACACAGGTCAGTATGAAGATCAATATCTTACTGATTCATGTTTAATTCGTTTATCTGATGGACAATATTCAACTGATCCTATTTTTCTACGTTTTCATGTACGTCGAGTAAATGGAATGAATGGAGGATTAAGTCATTCATCATTGCCTTACCTTCCTATTACTAATCTACAACCTTTACGTCCATTAGAATATCCAGAGATGAAAAGTACAACTAATGAAGAAAGTATGCAAATATTTACTTTATTATATTTAAGGGTTTTTAATACAATGTTTGATCGGGATATGCACTATGCAAATGAAATAAAACAAGCAATATTTAGGGATAAAGTGTAAATAAAGGCAATAGTCAAGTATTATATTTTATGATTATTCAATTCTACTTCTAATATACACGGTTCCCATATCTAAGCATAGCCAGTTACTTGAGTAATAAAACCAAGAGTGAGAAGGAAGTCTGATTGCAAAGGCCAGAATCAAAAGTATATGTACAATTTATTCATCTTTTGTGCAATTAAGCTGTACTTACTTACCCCCAATGGAGCATAGGCCGCCCACCAGTTTTCTCCAACCAACTCTGTCCTGGGCTTCCCTCTCCAGTTCTGTCCAATGTTTGTTCATTCCTCTCATATCTTTCTCTATTTCTCGGCGTAATGTATTCTTTGGCCTTCCTCTTTTCCTTTTGCCTTGAGGGTTCCATGTGAGGGCTTGTCTCGTGACGCAGTTAGGTGCTTTTCGTAGTGTGTGTCCTATCCACTTCCACCGCTTCTTCCTGATTTCCTCCTCCACTGGAATCTGGTTTGTTCTCTCCCACAGTTCGTTGTTGCTGATCGTGTCTGGCCAACGAATACGAAGTATTTTGCGTAGACAACTGTTAATAAACACTTGTATCTTTTGGATGATGGCTTTGGTAGTTCTCCATGTTTCCGCTCCATAAAGTAGAACTGTCTTGACATTTGTATTGAAAATCCTGATTTTGGTTTTGGTTGAAAGTTGTTTGGAGTTCCAGATATTTTTCAACTGTAGAAATGCAGCCCTTGCTTTGCCAATCCGCGTCCTCACATCTGCATCCGATCCACCTTGCTTGTCGATGATGCTGCCAAGATATGTAAAGGTGCATGTTGTGTTGCATCGGAGAATTTCGCTCTTTCCTTTATGTATGTTGAGACCTACTGCTGCAGAGGCTGCTGCTACACTGGTCGTCTTCTCTTGCATTTGTTGTTGAGTGTGCGATAGAAGAGCCAGGTCATCTGCGAAGTCCAGATCGTCCAACTGCGTCCTAACTGTCCAGTTGATACCGTGCTTCCCTCCAGATGTTGACGTCTTCATAATCCAGTCGATCACCAGGAGAAAGAGAAGAAAGGGTGAGAGTAAGCAACCTTGTCTGACACCGGTCTTCACCTCGAAAGAGTCGGTTAGCTATCCTCCGTGCACGATTTTGCAGTTGAATCCATCATAAGAGTTCCGTATGATGTTAACTATTTTCTCAGGCACACCGTAGTGTCGAAGAAGCCTCCACAGTTTTTTCCTATCCACGCTATCGAATGCTTTCTCGTAGTCGATGAATTTGATGTAGAGTGGTGAGTTCCATTCAATTGATTGTTCCACAATGATCCGTAATGTAGCAATTTGGTCAGTACACGATCGATCCTTACGAAATCCAGCCAATTGATCTCGAAGTTGGGCGTCTACGAAGTCTCTCATTCTGTTTAACAATACCCTGTTGAAGACTTTGCCTGGTATTGAAAGAAGAGTGATGCCTCTGTAGTTCTCACACTTGCAGAGATCGCCTTTCTTTGGTATTTTGATCAGGTATCCTTCTTTCCAATCTGATGGTACTTGTTCCTCATCCCAAATCTTGTTGAAGAGAATGTGAAGTACTTTTGCAGTTGCTGCGACAGCTGCTTTCATTGCCTCTGCTGGAATGCTGTTTGGTCCGGCTGCTTTGCCGCTCTTGATTCGTTTGATGGCCATACTGATCTCTTCAATTTTAGGTGCACCAACATCGATTGGGAGGTCCGTAGATGCTGCTTCGATGTTGGGTATGTTCAGTGGAGCTGATCGATTCAAGAGTTCCTTAAAGAGCTCTACCCACCTGTTTCACTGTTCTTCAGTGTTGCTGATTACTTTGCCTTCCTTGCTTTTCACTGGTCGTTCTGGTTTACGATAGTTTCCGGCCAGTCTCTTTGTTGTATCGTACAATTGTATCAGGTTTTTTCATATTGCAGCCTTTTCGGCTGTCATTGCTAGATCTTCCATATAATAACGTTTCTCCACTCTGATGCTCCTCTTCACTTGCTTATTTGCTTCTGTGTATTCAGCTTGTGCCTTAATTTTCTCTGCTCTTGTTCGGCTGATGTTGATTGCTGCCTTCTTGTTCCTCCTCTCTTCAATTTTTACAAGAGTACCAACAGAGACCCATTCCTTGTGATGGTACTTCCTGTGGGCCAGAACCTCCTGACAAGTTGAAGTGAATGCTTCCTTGGTCACTTTCCAATTGTCCGCCACGGTTGCTTCCTCTCCATTAAGTAAACTGTGCAAGGCCTGGGATCTATTGTTAAGGGCTATCTTGAATTCATTGAGCTTTCCAGTATCCCGAAGAAAGGCCGTATAAAACTTTTTTGATGTTGTCTGCCCCGTTGTCCAGTGTTTCTTGAGTTTCAGTTCCATTTCTGCGACCAGCAATTGATGATCTGAGGCTATATCAGCTCCTTTCTTGGTTCTCATGTCCTCCATAATCCTTCTGAACTATTTATTGATGCAGATGTTGTCGAGTTGGTTCTGAGTAGTGGGATCCGATGAAATCTATGTATATTTGTGTATGCGCTTGTGTGGGAATATTGTGCCACCGATGACCAGTTTATTGAAGATACATAGGTTTGCAAATCTCTCGCCGTTTTCGTTCCTTTCTTGCAGTCCATGTCCTCGCATGACGTCTCCATATTCAGTGTTGTCCATGTCAACCTTGACATTTAGGTCTCCCATTAGAATCGTCACATCCTTCAGTGAGGATCTCTCGACCATTGACTGCAGGCTTTCGAAGAATTGATCTTTGTCGTCGTGATTGTAGTCGTTGGTAGCTGCACAGCATCGGATGACGTTCATTGTAATGTACACTTTCTTTGTTTTGAAGGATGTCCATTGTCAGTGACTTCATGGATTTGTGTCATGTTTTGTTTTGGCCGCCCCTAACTTTCTCCCAACCTACTCCTACACCACAAAACATAGCTCATCGAGGCAGTCGATGGTTAGGCATTTGTAACACATGTAGCAACCACTTCAACTGATGAAGTTTCATTACTTCATCTATTGATCTGCCATCGTTACCTAGCACCCGTTTCCTAGCGATAGCATTGCTTAGTCGGTCGTCCCAGGATGCACGAGTAATGCCTCGGATACACCTTTGATCGAAAACTAGTAACCTACGAATATCCTCTACTCTTAACGGCCAAGTTTCGCGTCCGTATAGTCGGAGAGAGAGAACTGCTGCACGGTAAACTCATCCTTTGGTCGCGTGCATCATAAAAGACGAAGGTTGGCAACAGGCAATCGAGCCTTCTGTATACAAACTGAGATTTAGTCAGTCACCAGGCCATCAACACTGATGAGACGCCCCAGATACATTGAGCGGTCCACACTTTCGACTACTTCACTCCCTATCACTATTTCAGGTGCCGATGAAACCCAGTCTTGAATCAACACTTTGCATTTAGAGGGTGAAAACCGCATTCCGAACATACTTGCATTGTTGCTTAGGGTAGTCAGAAGACAGCGTCTTCAGCATGTAGAACTATGTCATCGGTTAATGTATTTCTTTGGTATACCTTTCAATGACAGACACTGCTACAGAACCTCACGATCCACTGAGTCGAATGCCGCCTTTAGGTCCAGGGAAACAACTATTGTCGGACGCCTAAATGTGTGTCTGTGTTCCAGGACATGTCGTGGTGTGAAAATGTGGTCTATAAAGCCGCATCCTGGTCGGAAACCAGCCTGGTTTTCTCGAGTCTGCTCTTCACGAGCTTTCGTTAAGCGTCGAAGTATTATTGAGGCCAATATTTTAGATATCATATTAGTTAGACTTATTCCCCTGTGACTGTCACAAGAAGACTTTCGTCCTTTCTTATAAATAGGGACAATCAAGGATTGAGACTAGTCAGATGAGATTACGTCCAGTTCCCAGATTCTACCTATAATCTCGGTCAGTCTGACTGTTAAAACTGGACCACCATCTTTAAAAATCTCAGGAGTTAGCCTATCAAGGCCTGCAGCTCGCCCTCGCTTCAGATTTCCTATAGTCTTTTCATCTTCATAAAGATTCGAAGGGCTTACGTCGACTTGCCGTTCAGGATGACTGGTGATCGTGGGCAACCGAAGTGTGGCTGAAGACCAGTTGAACTGTTCCCTAAAGTGTTCTGCCCGTCGGTCCAATCTCCTGGATTGAGAATAGATAATAAGACCATCCTTTTCCGAGATAGTCTCACTCACAGTAGGATTCCTAATACCAGTTTCCTTGAGAAGTCGGAAAAGGTGTCTACTGTTGCCGATCGCCGCTGCCTTTTCGATCGCCTTTGCTTTCGCCACCCACCACTGTTCACGGTCGTTACGTAGACTTTCTATCAGCCTGCGCTTAAGCTGACTTCGTTCTTCATCGTGTTCAGAACCAGGCGGGATGAGTTTTCAAGCACGTATCAGTTCGGTGGATGCCACTGAGATCCACGGCTTCATCCTAGCCTTATGGTTTACCTTACTAGAAGATATCACTGCTGTTTCCACAGCCTTCTTGATATCATTCCAACCTGCCTCCGGATGGAAATCACTTGCATGGTCGCCTAACTGTTTTTCTAGTTCCTCCTGAAATATTTTCTTAGCTTCATTATCATTACGTAAAGCCCTAAGAGGCTTTCTTACGGTGTCTTTACTACGTCCAGTAAGCTTCAAACAAATACAAGCTCGCACTAGGGCATGATCTGAATCTAAACTTCTGCCCCAGAACGAGCGAAAGTCCTCTATTGAACCCCTCCATCTGTGGCTGATGGCGATATGATCTAGTTGCATCCAACGTTGAGACGACTTCGCGGGTCGCCAGGTCAAAAGATGTTCTTCCTTATGCTTAAAATTAGTGTTTGCTAGAAATAGGCGGTTATCTGAGCACAGTTGCAACAGACGGTCGCCATTGTCTGTTCTTTGAGCCGCGACACCATAACATCCACCAAGGTGTCTTTCATTCTCGCTTAGTCTACCTACCTGAGCGTTACAGTCATCAGCCATTATTACTATATCAGAGCGCCTATCTTTGAGGAGGAGGTCCGAAAGCTTTCTGTAAAACTCATCTTTCACCTCGTCTGAACTGCAGTCAGTGGGGGCATAAGCAGATACGACGAAGAGGCAACGACGCGTGTCCCTATCTTTCCGAGTCCTTACTGTCCCGTTCAGTCGGACAGCGCACAAACGACTATCTACTGGGATTCAGTCTAGGAGAGATAATTCTGCCCTACGACTCAATGCTATGCCTACACCAGCGAGACCCCTGGAGGCAGCATCAGGGACACCGGATACACGAAGAGTAAATTGGTCTGCTTCTTTGTTTTGATAAGGTGAAATCAAATTAATGATTTTACTAGGATCCTGTATGCGCGTTTCAGAAACGCAGCATACATCGATTGAGCGAGATTCTAATGTCCTAGCTAAGGAAGCCTGTTGCCCTATTTGACATAATTCCCGTACATTAAATGCTCCAACATGTAATTTAGAACGAGGTTTCAGGAAACCAAGAATGACGTTTCGTGAACTCGCATCGTTTGCATTAGCGGTGCAGTGTGATAAAGGAATGTGAGATAAGAGAGTTATTAAAGGGTGCAAGAATGATTTGATTTCGACCAATTCGGTCTCTTGAGCAGTTATGGGTATGAGGGCGGTTGTCACTTTCCAGCTGCCCACACCATGGAAGGTCGTTTCTTGAGGAACCTGAAAAGGAAGATAGATTAGTGTTGGTCTTAGAGACCTGAGTGCGTGACCGCAGAGCCCAAGGGACAACTGCTTGAGGTTGGTCATGCACGGCCTTTTGATGAAAAGTCTGAGGGGAACACCTTACTGCTGTCACACCCCACTGCAGTCAGCAGTACGACTTTGCCCTCAGACCTTGAGTAGCTGCTTCTAGTCTCATCGTTCTCCGATCGACCTGCCTGCCATGGTAGAACCTTAAGGAACATATGTTCCAACCAATATAGCTCGGTTGGGTAGCAGCTACGGTCGGGCAAAGTCGTATCAATGACTGCAGAAGGTTGTGACGACGGTAAGGTGTTTCCCTCGTACAACCAGAATCTTCAGCAATGCTGCCTTCTCACAAGGAAGGAAGGGTTAGAAAAAGTAGACCCTCAAAATGTCACACTTCACCCTTCCTTACGGATTTCCGTCTCATTGGGTAAGGGTCTTAAACGTACAATTTTTGGAAGTCTTATGGACTCTACAACTATTCAGTCCTCGCTGATTTTCAGTTGTTGACTGATCAAAAGTTAGTCTGTGAAACTTTATGTCCCAAAATCTCCTATCGCTCCGTCAAGATAAACTGTCCACTCAACAGTTAAATGATGGCAGGTAATCGGGTTTATCCGATAACAGATTCACATGTAAATTAGCTTTGTGTAAATAAGAAAATCAAATTAAATTTGAAAGAACGTATGCTAACAGCGATATAATTCATATGTACATTAATTCTTTTATTATACTATTTTACCTACTAATAAGTAGTCCAATTTTGTACATTCAAATCTTTCTATTTCATTTCAGATGACGGAGAAGTAAATCAAATGCATCAAGACGATGCTTTAGACACAATATCAGATTCCTTTAATACTGTGATAATAAAGGCGACAATCAATAGGTTTACATTTATTCAACATAAAGATATTCAGTCAGACAAAATAAACGATAATCAAATTAAAATAACATTTAATTCAAATGCTGATAGTTTTATCCCTTCATGTGGATTGCTAGCACGTACATCAGCACCACTGAAAAGCATTATAGAATTCACTGATGATGAAGTTAAAAATCATCAGATTGTTTTTTATGCTTTGAACTGTGAAAGTTATCTTAACAAAAACTTTCAAATAGATTTTAAACTAGCCACTTCATCAGGAGACTATTTAGGTCAGAAATCAATAATGGTGTTGATTCAAAAAAATAAACGTGATCTACCTGAATTAGAAACTTATTCTGAACTGATTATCTTGCCTTATACAGATACGTTAGTTAGAACAAGTCACTTATCTTTCAAGGACAAAGACACTAATCCCAACCATTTAATTTATGCGGTAACAGAACACGGTAAACAAAATAAACAATATGGTCAACTGATCAATGCTCAAAACGAAACAATCAAATGTTTTACTCAGTCACAAATCAATTCACGTCAAATTTTGTTCAGCTCATATACACAAGGAAATCTATCATTTTCAATTCATCTACACATATTTGATGCTGGTGATATAGGAAAAATCAATAACTTTAATCAGTTATGTCATGACATTCTACATTCATACAGTTCGGTAAATGAAGCAAATACTGAAGATAATATAAATCCATTCTTCGAAAGAATGGTATATAGAATCAAGCAAAATCAAACAAACACCATCACTTCAAACGAACCGCTTAAATTGAAAGTTCAATATAAAAATTTCGAAAATTTAAACAAGAGCAATAATTTATTAATTAATAACGCTCCAAAACCTGAAACTTTAGAAACTATTCTCCCAGGACATGTAGGATTCTATTTAGACAGTGAAAATATTTATACATTAAATCCATGGATAAAATTCAAAATATTAAATCATGAAAAAATGAATTGTGAATTATTTAATAAGATCGAAAATAAATCAGTACAAGACTATTTCTATCAAAATGATTTAAATAGACGTAAATTAGTAGTTCTTTTATTAAAAGATAAAAATAAATTTAAAAAGTCAAGAAAAAAGCTATCACCTTCCTCAAGTGATACAGTATGTCATATACATTATGAACTTCACGATGTGAACGAATCGGCTGAAAGGAAAAGACATAGGTAAGTCTGTTCCTTCCATATTCTTGATCATGTTACTGTTCACTAGGTCATTAAAGAAGAGTATATCAAAACTAAACTATAAAGTATTACATTAGTTTCAGATTGGTTTGTAAAAGAAAAATTAAAAACATGCGTGTAATTGTTGCGTAAGAAATTAAACAAATCTATGTCATCCAAAATCTTATTGACAGATCAATTGTTCGTAGTTCATTTTGTTTGCTTGAACCTTAAGAACACTTCAAATTTTTAAATTTAAATGAACGATAGTGTTAAGCTGAAACACTAATATCATTCTATTTTAGCTTTCAAAAAAGGACAAATTAATTTTTAGCGTAATCAATAATATCATCATTTTTTTAACAGAGTGAGTATTTACCAGTTGTTCGATTTTATGATAATTATTTATTTTTATAACTTTTTACAACAATATTTGACAAGAATACATGTTTATACGAGTGTGCATATTTTAAGTTATTCTGAATCAGTCAATCACTTAGGCACAACATCGAACCTGATTTATCCAGTAGTTCAAAGGTGTCAAACATTCACCTGTAAAATAGGTACTTAATCATTTTCAGAAAATTTTTATCCAAACCACAACTTATCATTATAAGAATTCGGTGGGTAAAAAATTATTTGCTTCTTGTAAAAAAAATTCATTGTCAAAATAGTAAATAAAATCTAAATAACTGTAAGCGTTACCTTATTGAATAATCACAACAAAAATTATCAAGAATAAAATGAAGTGAATTTTGTGAAATTCGATAAAAGTAAACAAATTCACCATTTAATCAGAATCTAATTACAATTCAATAGATCAATTACAAGAACGACTGTATCAATTAACCACTAAGTTAATCAGCAGAAATCCATTAAAAAAATACTCTTGAAGAAATTAATAATCTTAGTAATGTTCAGTATGATTTTGATGTTTACAAGGATATCATTGAAATTTTTCAGTTTTATTACATAAATAAACTATTTCATTGATTAAATTTTGAGCTCGTTTCTGAACAGAAATCGTAATCTAGCTTCTCAAATATAATGAAATTCTGTAAGGTGGTTAGAGGTAGTTGAATGGATTCTCTGGTTCTAAATTCCTAACTATTTGACATCCGTGAGCAAGCTGTACGTGTAATCTCGAGGGAATTGGTGCTCCTAATCGACACTAGGAAAGATTTGACATACACGACGTTGGTCACAACTTTATGATCAATCAGTTGTAAATACGATCCTTGTCTATCAGTCAGGGAATTATGTTGAAACACTGAGATGTAAGATCAGTCAAATCAAAACGAACGCAATATAGTTATGCTAATAAACTTAGAGTAGCATTCAAATTTGTGACATAATTTGCTTTCTATATCTAACTAACGTTTAGTATGTGCATTTAGTACTACTTCAGAATTTTAAACCGATTCTAGATCTAATTAAACTCGATTAGAATTTTAATAGGACATGGTAAGAAAATACTAAATTATAAGAATATTTTTAAAAATTAGTCTCGTCAACTATCTTCATTTACTTGAATTCTAAGTTTATTAACAATAATACTATTACATTGGAATTATGAACCTAGTTTCGATCCCGGCATATGGGGTCATGTATGCGTCATACAAAGGAGTTCCATACTAGGACAAAACAACAACTCAGTACTTCAAGGCTTCCAATGATTGTCTAACATTGGTCAGTTTACGAATACAATGTAATTCAACAATATTTACAACCATATTTTGACAATAATACTATTATTTCTACATCATTAATAACTGTATACAATGGTATTCACTTTTTTATTTCTATCAGTTTGGAATTAAGCTGGATTAAACTTGGCTTTGATCATAAAGTGTACACAGTCTGTCCAGAAAGAGGTCTCTTAACATTAACCGTCATACGAAAGGGTGCAAAGCAAGCGTTACAATCAACTTTAACAGATGTCTACGTCGGACTTTCATCTGATACAGCGATCGAAGGAAAAGATTTCAGTCTACATTCACAAAAACTAATTGTTTTTCAGAAAGGTATTCATGTATATAAATAACAGAATTGGATATCATTTGTAATTTCAACTCAATGTTCAGGAACTAAGTTGTTTTTTTTTTCATTTTCATAATACTAAACTTATGTATTTAACGGGCCGTTTTTGGTTCCAAGGAAATGTGAAGACAGTGACTGACCCTTTCAATCTGTCGAACATTTGTTCACTATCTGAGAAGTCATGTACGAAGGATAAATTTCTGTTTATTAACAAATATGTTGTCAATAACAAGACAATTTTTTCACATGATACTTTTTTATAGAAAATTACGAACATCATAACACCTAACTTAAAGTGAAAGGGAAATGAAAATCATAAATGTACTAATAGCTATTGGGTTCTAAAAATATGCTAATTGTTCCGCTCGATTTTTTGAAGTCAATTGAACCAAACTGTATTAAGAAATAGACTGTATAGAATTTGTGATTATTGTATCAGTTCAAAAGACTAACAGAATGTTCATAATGTAGTTTCGACAAGGAATATGTATGAACGCAAAGAATACATAGTTGTGCTCTATACCCAGTCTATTAGTTTACATTAGTTTTACAAAATACTAATGAGTTTGTTTCTATTGAACACCAGATGACCTTGAGACTTGTTTCAATCTTAAAAACTCATATCTCCAAACACACTTTGTATACGAAACAAGAATTAACAATTTAAGCATTACGAATACATAAAATGAATTGAGTAACTTGGCTGAAGATAATCACCTTCATTTATGACTCCATAAAACGTTTGCAGTTTTGAGTCAATTCTGAATAAAGAGAGATAAATTAGTTCCAGAATTTTCAATTGTTAAATATTCAATTAAAATATCCAGTGGAAATCAATTACTTTTTTAAAAATAAATAATCAGTTTGTACATAAAATATCATTAAAATTATTCATCAATGACTTAAATGAATGCAAATGCAAATCAGAAGCGAGAATTTTGTCTCCAAAAAACGAAAATTTTCCAAAGTAAGTTAAGCTACTGATATTCATTGAGAAATATATATATATATATATGTGGGTTTAACCACACGCAAATAGTTCCAAACTTTAAAACAATCTGATAACATTGTTTATTTAACGCAGGTGAACTTAAAAAAAATGTATTAATACGTTTCCATCCAACTATAAGAGATTTCAAACAACAAAAGTTACGATTTTACGTCGATCTTAAATTACCAACAGGAGCTATTTTGGATCGAAAACGTAGAGCTGAAGTAATTGTACATGGTAAGTTTATGTATATCACCTAATTTTAGTAAACCCTGTAACCTTGAAAGAAATGTATAATCGAATAAAAATTGCTATTTAAGTGTAGTTATGTTCCTAGATTTATTAAGTAGTTCTAACCAGATTAATTTTTGAGTAGAAACGTTAACTGAGTCTCGGGTTATATTTTGAGATCAAGAGCTTTTGATCAACTAGAGAACTGTTTTGTTTTATCTATTCAAATGGGTTCCACAGCATCAATTACTTATTTTTTTTTCATGATAAGAACATTTGTACAAATGTCTGTAATAGAGAATAAGTTTGCCTTAGTAACGAAATTTGAAAATATCTACATCAATATACGCATTTTCAATTCATCGCAAACGTATAAGAAGACAACTAAGAAATTATAAATGTAAGAATGAAGTATTCATTGGACGTAGAGAATATGTAGAGATTGTACTATTTTCAGTTGAAATCTTAGCTAGACCATCATTGAGAACCTGGAGGCACTGGATGGCCGTTTCGTCCTAGCATATGACTGCTCATCAGTGAGCACCCACGATCTCGAAGAAGGATTCAAACCCAGGACCTTCGGTTTCGTGCATAAATGCTTAACTCCTAGATCGTTTCAGTGCTTACAAGTTTCCAGTGGTAGTCTAGCTACGATCAGTTCGTAATTTCAACTGTGAAAATATTTAGTAAACGTAAATAATAATGATAACACTTCGGCCAGTTTTGTAACATTGACTTCTAAACAGTGATACTATAACACTGATTATGAAATATGTGTTTTACTCTAACACTAAGTAATCTAACTGGCAAAATAGATCAAATGCGTTTTATTGGAGATAATATCATATCAATGCTGTCTAAAAGTGCTCAAAGAAGAAGCAAAATTCTTTATCATATATTTTTACTTAACGCTTGATAACGTTGCAACAGTATTAAAAAGAATATGTTTTTTCAGTAAACTAACATCGTTGTATTATGCTATGCTAATTAGTCGTGAAGCTTTATAAATTCAATAACTTCTGTTATTAACAAATATCTTAAACTTGGTATTACCGAACTAAATACTAAGTGACCATATTTTTAACTTAATTAATGGTATATATTAAGGAAATTAGCCAGTATGGTATAATCTACAGAAAAATGGTACTTACAGCAGAAAACTGTGTGAGTGATTCACAAGACACACAGATATAACTGGTGATAGAAGTAGACTTTGTTAATCCTCGAAAAAACACAATGACAACTCTTCTAAAAAAATACACTACATGAGACATCGATTTTACATTTGATCATTAGTTGATGAATATCACATGTGACCGAAATACGGGGAATACACATATAACACAAAATGCATACTACATATCGAACTGAAGAGAACTTTTATTAAATACACAGTATATTATACTGAGTAGATATCATACTGAGTTGAAATGATTGTTATGTAGTTGCTCCTTCTTAAAATGTGATTACATATCATAGGTGATTGGAGAAAATCACTTTTGCATATCACCTACACACCAATCAGTTAGGACACTGCTTATCAGATTGATTTAGTGAATTACTTACTGTGGCATTCCTGGCTAAAATTTCACAAAAATCTATACTGAAGCATTTGACTGTTGTTATTATTCATGTAAGATAACTTCTGTACAGTTATTTTTCGTATGCACTGAGATATCAGTTTGTAGAATTAAACTATGGTGAAACAATTATTCAACAGACTCTTTCGTTTTCGGATTTTCAAATACTTCATGCATAAACTATAGATATATTTTATTCATTAAAGTGCTTTTTATCATTATTTAGATTTCCATGGAAAATGTGAATCAAAATCATACTATGCGCCAGTAAAACTAGAACAGAGAACTAAACTAGTGAACGTAAGTTAACAGTGTCGAAAAAGTAACACTGTTTGTTTACATAATATTTGAGATAACGCTATAAGGTGATGTTTGTAAGTAGTTAGAAATGAAATAAAAAATTTTCTAAAATCTATTACTTAAATCTTATACGAATCAAGAATATTGCACAATAAATAAATAAATTGAAAAATACATAGATTAGCAATAACTCAACAAACTGTTAATATTTATTAGATCTCTATAATTGTAATCAGACAAACGAACACAACTGTACAACTTAACCCTAAACAACGGGACTATTCGGACACATCCTAATAACGATAGAGTACATAGCCTATCATATTCTCGATTTTCTTGAGATTTTCGGATCGCTTGATCTGCCAACTTCGATAGAACAGTACATAATGCCGTTGTTGTGTACTAGGTTTAAAAAGACTCGTGTGTTGTATGTAAAAACTCCAACTGAGAATTAAATAATCGTCAAACTCTCTGAATAGTTAGTGACTATCTGGAATCAGCAGTTCAATGAAGAAGGTAATGGCATTTGAAGTGAAAGATATTGAGTTTGGAATCCCAATAAGAATAACCCTGAAATGCAGGTACATCCAATTAACGAGTGCCAAAAAGGATTTCACGGTCGGCTTCAATTAATTTCATGTAACTGTACAATTGAAAGCGACTTACAAAAGAGCTATATTGAGCAAAAAAGGATTTTGATGAAGTAAATTACTTTCTTTATTATTTTAAAATTTTATGGAACAAGCTGTTGAGTAATTATAAAATATCATAAAAAATGATTTTTCATGTACATCACCTGGTTCTTACGCATTAATTCAGCCGTCAAGATTATTGAACCCTGAAATTTGGATTTATGAGGAAATTTCGAATTTATCTTACTGACCTCTAGGTTTCTGCATGGAAAAAACAAGTCATATGAAATTTAAATGATACGATGTAGTTATAAACAATGACAAATTTGATCTTAATTTTTATATTTTGAAAGCATAAAAAATATTATTTGGTTCATAAGATTATTTGACCGAAAACAAAACAAAAACGCATTGAAACCTTTTAGTATACTTGGATAACGGCTGGTAGTGGAATCTATTGGCTGAGCTTACTCATATTCTGGACAAATCAGTTGGAAGTACTTTGTTTATGCTGAGTTCTGAACTGTGTCTATCTACCCCAACGTGTTATCGATAAAGCTACCGAATCTAGGTGAACATTAACTTGTAAGACGGTTATAAATTTATTAGTAGACTAGTCTACAAAATGTCAGAAATGAACATCCACAACCTCACTTACAAGGCTAGACACATGGCCTGCATGTCTAGCAGAAAGTATAAAATCAAAGTTTGCATTCATTACCTTCAATTCTCAACTACAAACAATAAGCTTACCTCATCCATTATCTACGATGAGTTACTGTCCAGTCATCCATCAACATTTGTTTGATAAACAGAATGTATATTACATGAGTAACTATAGAAGCTCAAATATACACAAACACCATTTAAGAACAACTGGACAGAGGTATAGTTAGTTTATGACACTTTCCCACATCTATTCACCCACTAAATTCCATGTTCGTAGTATATTCCTAACTATCGTCTTCTGCGATAAATTTATTGGAATATTTGTCCAAGTCCACTTCTCCATAATTAAACTATAATGCCGTTTCTTACTTGGACACAGTTTACTATATCGAACTGTAACTGAGCTATTAAGTTCAGGTTTATACATACCGGTTTGAGCCAAACTGTGTGAAATCCACAGCTACTGCCTGAATGATCAAACTGAATCAAGTGAAATGAAGTTTGACGTCTAAATGTATTTATTCGTCTATGCAACCTGACTTCTTGAGCCAACAGACCAACACTACTGTTATGTTCGTCACTTGGTATGCTTGAAGCTATTACGAGTTCACCTCAGTCGATAAAAGCGAACGAGACAATTACCAGCGTCCAGATAGGCTACCTTGAATCCTAAACTGCAAAACAGAAGACTTGGTAAGTGTAGAAAGTATATTCTACAACACCCAGCAATCACAATACAATCAAGCACACAACTCTAGTTTATTTATACATCGTAGAAACGTCCTTGGGACAGTTACGAAAATACACAGCAGCCAATCACAGCCATGAATTTTCCTGGTGGGAAATGAAATGAAGGTCAACCGATCAGCCCATGCTCGCAAACGTGAAATCCAAAATAAGGCATTTATCAAGCGAGTTCTGGGGATCTAGCATCCCCAACAACTACAACTTCTATTTTCGATTTATGCATCTTTCAGGACATACATACTTACTATCTAACTATTTGATATATATGAATACTATCCTTCAACGTCATAGGTACTATTTATTCATTCTTATTTATTTTGCCTTTCTTACTCTCAAGAACCCTGTAAAACGAGATGTCACACGTGTCACTCACTCAAATCTAAATAAATTACAGAACAATCCGATTTATTTATCTAATGTACATACGAATAATGATAAATACAATGATTATTTGACTGACTTTTATTGGCAATCAAATCAACAATACAAAATGGAGAATGATGCAGTCAAAAGTCATATTAGCTTAACTGACTGGCTTGCAACAAATGATCTACCAGATTCTAAAACATTAAGTGCATCCTATGAAAATTACATGCACTCAAATGCGCATAAAATACATTGTTTAGATGGTAAGTAAATTCTGAGTAAGCTTACTACGTACTAGAAATAATTGACTAGTACAAATGTAGCTTAGTTAATTGGCGTTCCCACTGTTTGACTATTTTTACCTCTTTTATGTGATTGTAAATTTAAGACTAACTGCAGTGATATAGTTTAAACAAAACTCCATACTAATTCGAATCGTTATTGGAGATCTCAATGATCCTATTGTTGATAACCTAGACTGAATAATTAGTCAGTCTAGACATTAAAGAGACATAATATATGTAAGTTTCAGAGACAAAACTAAGTAAACCCAGCGCTTCGCTCGGAGATCTGGTTCAAGCTACTACCAGTAGTAGTAGTAGTAGTAGTAGTAGTAGTAGTAGTAGTAGTATTACTACTACCGATGATGATGATAATAATAATAACAATAATATACTGGCTATAAATATCAGGCGATTTTACATTGTCAATTTGTGTTAGCATCAGGTTTCCATCAAAACGTACAGCTTACACTGAACCAGTTTCGAATAAACAAAAGTAGGAATCATAACACAGAACACTAGTGTCAGTTTGTTAGATGATTCTCGTTGATCTTATCTGCTGCTGAACAACTCAACGAACTAAACTTTATAGTATCTTGATCTTAAGTGATTCTGTGATTTATTTTACTTATTAATTTATACATAACATAGGATGGAAATTTTATCAACATCGTTGTTACCGGCTCTATGAAAACAAAGAAATGACTTGGGAAGAAGCACGAAATTATTGTGAACTGCAAGATGGCTTTTTAACTAGTATTACAGATGAATCAAATTTGAAATGGTTGACTGAAACGTTTCAAATACGTAATCCATTTTGGATAGGTATGTTTCGTTATTGATTCGTCTCACTAAAAATCAACATTATGCCGTTAAATCCTTTCTCGACAATTTTGTACAAACCCCATTCCCCATATGAGTGAGAATGCAGCTATGCTGCAAAACAATTGATAGAACATCAAGCAATTATCAAAACAATCCTATCTAAATATTTTCATGAATGAATGACATCAACTGGGGTTTCGTTGAAAACAAAAGGTCCAAAGATAAATGTTTCATCTTTGTATGAAACTTGTCAGTAGTGAGTAGTATTTGTTGGACTTCAGCTATGTTCTAAGTGTAGCAGTTTATTAACAAAATTACTGAATGATCATCACAACGTATCCTGAATTGATTAAAGGTGAAGTTATGGACTATTTGATTTCAACTCAATAATTTAAATGTTCTGCGCTAGCCGTAAGAACTAAAGATTGTAATTTTTAGACATGCACCGCTGAGAAATTACATTATAAGACTAGACGGTTGTCCAACACTATCTTGAGTAATGTCAATCCGTGAGGAAAACCACCTACAAAGGAACTCATTTCTAATGAACGTTCCAACAAAAATGTACTGAATTTCAATAAACTTTTCGAACCATGTTTTTCCTACTTTGATGGTTCGTGAAGCGAAATAGTATCACTAGACCTCAAAACAAAGTGTACAATATAAATACTAGTCTACGAAATCGTAAATAAACTATATTAATAATAAATCCAGACAACATAGGAATCGAATTTAGTCTGAAACTCAAAATATTTCTCGCATGAATGATAATTTCACGACGGGGCAGATGATAACGACTTCTCACTTAAAATTAAATTTTTGGAATCGTATTTGTAAAATGTACATTTACAGGCGTACAGTTAAATACTAAGACGACCGAATCAAATTAATACAGGTTTTATTTTACTTCACTAATCAAGGTCTTCATCAAAAACAATCACGTGGTTCATGGGTTTGGCATAATTTTGAACACGTTGGCTTTGCAAAATGGGATAGAGGATACCCAGTTAGTACAAAATGGCGATCAACTAATAAACATATAAAACGTAAGCGTCACCAATCACAACAACAAAAAAATCACAGAGGACCCAAAGCCTGTGTACTTGCAACTTCTTATTTACACTGGCAAAATCGATTTTGCAACCGAATCATCAAAGGTGTGAATTTTATATGCATGAAGAATCCTGAAATATTCTAAGTGAGAAAAGAACATAACAGTGATGTTAATAGAAATATCTGATTGATTTGTTCAATGAAAAAAGCCTCTCGCTATATTCCTTCTCATATCTTATGACAGATATCTCTATTGGCTATAATTATTTTACAACATAATATAAACTTTAATATCAACATTATAATGAATTTCACAGGTAGCCTGTCAAATTTTATGATTGTTATCAATACTGCTACTTATTATTCGAAAACAAATAGTAGAAACTACTCTAATTTAAGAATATCCATATAAACCCATAACACAGACATTTCTATAAATATGTATTCACGGGAAAGTAAATACTCCCGTAAATGGAGTACCCACGGGCAAAACAACTGATACAAGAAAATTTCAAAAGCATTTGTTTCGCTTACGACTTTCTTAGGATTCCTATGCACGTTAACTCCTTTTTTCTATTCCAACGCTATGTAGAACTGTAATTCGTCACTTCATTTTTCATTAAAAATTGTAAACTTTGTGCTATACATACATTTTGGACATTTCTATTTTGTGTTTCCTATTTACGATTTGAACGCACTTATAAATAGATAGGTGACGGCTTTATGTACTGAAAATCTTTAGAGATCCAATAACTGTCGAGGAATATATCCAGATGTGGTGATTTCTAAGTACTGAGTGGTGATAAACGTTTAACTCTTTATGCTTTGCTATTTATTTGAAGAGTTACCGTTTATGGTAAACAGCTTATTCCAATCCCATACCAACTAACTTCCACAATGTCTTGTTCTAAATATTATCAACCAATAATCATCGCCCAACTTTTAATGACAAACTACAAACTCTATGTTGATATCAACTTACAAAAACCTCTGATCTACAGCCAAGTTATTCACCAGAATGATATCAGTAGAAGAGTAGGCAATATGGTAAAGTTATCAATATGAAACTCAAGAGGTTTATGAAAATAAGCCTGACATTAGAAGTACAACTTAATCAAAAACTTCCAAATCTAATGGTCATTAGGGTCGTCTTCGCTTAGAACAGAGAAGATCGTACTTATGTACATAAGCTCAGGTTGCCATACCACGTTAACACAGAGACGAAAACGTCAGTCCGAATCCAACAGTGGTGGAGATAGTACAAGTATTAGCAGTAATAAAACGATTTGTGACGGATGATATAATTCAAGAACTAAATTTCAATGAGATAAATTTAGGAGAAAGATAGAAGTGACGAGGAATTCAGGTGGTGAGAATATAAGAGAACACAAAGATTAGATGCACCTGCGCCACTGCAAACGATTTTGATTCATGTAGTTCAAGGCCATCTACCGCGAGACGAAACTCAACAACGGATAGAAACCTTGAAAGACATGGCTTAAATCATTCGCAATGGAGCAGGTGCATCCACTCCTTGCGTTCTCTCAAATCCTAATCTCCTCGAGTCCTAAACACCTCCATCTATTTATCTCAATGAATTGTATTTCTTGAATCAAACCTTCCGTCACTAATCTTTATCATTACCGCTAATAGTTGTACTATCTCTAACACTACGGGATTGCGACTGAAGAATGCGTCTCTGTGCTAATGTGATGAGTAAACCTGAGCTCATATACAAACTTAAGAAGTTCTACGTTGTGGCTGCCTGATATTCAAGATATCTCACATCGATTACTATCGTCTCGCGGACCCCAACCAGGTAGACGACAATTACCGACATGGCTCAGTCCACTAGTCGATGACTTCATGGATTTCTGCCATGGTTTGGATTGGCCGACCTTTCCTTTCTCCCATCCTACTCCTACACCACAAAACAATATTAGTTGCCAAAAATCTGAAAGTTTACAACTTTTGAAAGCTGTAATATCATACGTATTTACGCGGTAATGCTTTCAGGATAAGTAGTAGGTTAGACTATAGATTTGTTGGATCGCTGGTCGATATGCTAATGAACTATCATCTTTTCATAATGCGATTGGGTTATTGATGCCAATATTCTTTATAAAGGATTCAGTGCTGAACATAAAACAATTGATCTTACTGATCGTTGTGTCTTTCATTTTAAACACAATTAGCAGACGTATGGAATAAACTTTGTTAGATTAGCCTTGAATACCAATTAGTCGCATTCGAAATTCGCTTGACATAAGCCCGTACTATCGATCTGTTCATGGTTAGTCATCTTTAGCTAAAGTATTTTAATAAGTTTGTACTGAGTAGTAGTTACCCAGCAGTGTCTGAACTGTCTGATACACTTAACAACAAAACTGTTGCTCCTGTCTTATCAGTCAGTTACAACGTGGAACTTCGTACGTAGGTATATAAGCTCAGGTTGCCATACCACATTAGCACAGAGACGCGAATGTCAAATCAAATCCCATAGTGGTAAAGACAGTAGAGGTATTAATGGTAATAAGGAAGACTAGGGTTTGAAGATATTATTCAAGAAGTATAATTCAGTGAGATAAGGTTAGAAGGACAAAGGTAGAGCTGTTGACGAATCCAGAAGATTGGGATTTGAGAGAGTTCAACGAACGGATGCACTTGCGCCATTGCAAACGATTTTGAGCCGTGTCGTTCAAGGTCTCTAACCATTGTTGACTTTCGTCTCTCGGACGCCAACCAGGTAGCCCACATCTGCCAGCATGACTCAGTCCACTTGTCAGTGACTTTATGGATTTCTGCCATGGTTTGGATTGGCCGACCTTTCCTTTCTCCCATCCTACTCCTACACCACAAAACAAAGCTCATCGAGGCAGTCGGTGGTTGGGTATACGCAACGCATGTCCCAACCACCTCAACTGATGAAGTTTCACCACTTCATCAATTGGTCTGCCATCCTTACCTAGCACCTGTTTCCTAATAACGGCACTGCTCAGTTGGTTGTCCGACGGTATACGAGCAATGCTTTGGAGAAACCTATGATCGCAGACAATTAGGCGAAGAGTATCTTCTACTCTCACTGGCCATGTTTCACAGCCATAAAGTAGGACGGCGCAAACTGCTGCTCGCCATCTTTTAGAAAATAGATATCTCACCTACGCCATAAGTGACACAGGTTCACGACTACTTCACTCCCTATCACTATTTCCAGTAAAGTCTACGTTGACTTGCCATTCAGGATGACTGGTGATCGTGGATCACCGAAGTCTGGCTGAAGACCAGTTGAACTGTTCCATAAAGTGTTCTGCCCGCCGGTCCAATCTCCTGGATTCAGAATAGATAATAAGACCATTGTAGGACGCCTAAATGTGTGTCTATGTTCCAGGACCTGTCTGAGTGTGAAGACGTGGTCTATACAGCCACGTCCAGGTCGAAAACCAGCCTGGTTTTCTCGAGTCTGCTCTTCACGAGCTTTCGTTAAGCGTCGAAGTATTATTGAGGCCAATATTTTAGATATCATATTAGTTAGACTTATTCCCCTGTGACTGTCACAAGAAGACTTTCGTCCTTTCTTATAAATAGGGACAATCAAGGATTGAGACTAGTCAGATGAGATTACGTCCAGTTCCCAGATTCTACCTATAATCTCGGTCAGTCTGACTGTTAAAACTGGACCACCATCTTTAAAAATCTCAGGAGTTAGCCTATCAAGGCCTGCAGCTCGCCCTCGCTTCAGATTTCCTATAGTCTTTTCATCTTCATAAAGATTCGAAGGGCTTACGTCGACTTGCCGTTCAGGATGACTGGTGATCGTGGGCAACCGAAGTGTGGCTGAAGACCAGTTGAACTGTTCCCTAAAGTGTTCTGCCCGTCGGTCCAATCTCCTGGATTGAGAATAGATAATAAGACCATCCTTTTCCGAGATAGTCTCACTCACAGTAGGATTCCTGATACCAGTTTCCTTGAGAAGTCGGAAAAGGTGTCTACTGTTGCCGATCGCCGCTGCCTTTTCGATCGCCTTTGCTTTCGCCACCCACCACTGTTCACGGTCGTTACGTAGACTTTCTATCAGCCTGCGCTTAAGCTGACTTCGTTCTTCATCGTGTTCAGAACCAGGCGGGATGAGTTTTCAAGCACGTATCAGTTCGGTGGATGCCACTGAGATCCACAGCTTCATCCTAGCCTTATGGTTTACCTTACTAGAAGATATCACTGCTGTTTCCACAGCCTTCTTGATATCATTCCAACCTGCCTCCGGATGGAAATCACTTGCATGGTCGCCTAACTGTTTTTCTAGTTCCTCCTGAAATATTTTCTTAGCTTCATTATCATTACGTAAAGCCCTAAGAGGCTTTCTTACGGTGTCTTTACTACGTCCAGTAAGCTTCAAACAAATACAAGCTCGCACTAGGGCATGATCTGAATCTAAACTTCTGCCCCAGAACGAGCGAAAGTCCTCTATTGAACCCCTCCATCTGTGGCTGATGGCGATATGATCTAGTTGCATCCAACGTTGAGACGACTTCGCGGGTCGCCAGGTCAAAAGATGTTCTTCCTTATGCTTAAAATTAGTGTTTGCTAGAAATAGGCGGTTATCTGAGCACAGTTGCAACAGACGGTCGCCATTGTCTGTTCTTTGAGCCGCGACACCATAACATCCACCAAGGTGTCTTTCATTCTCGCTTAGTCTACCTACCTGAGCGTTACAGTCATCAGCCATTATTACTATATCAGAGCGCCTATCTTTGAGGAGGAGGTCCGAAAGCTTTCTGTAAAACTCATCTTTCACCTCGTCCGAACTGCAGTCAGTGGGGGCATAAGCAGATACGACGAAGAGGCAACGACGCGTGTCCCTATCTTTCCGAGTCCTTACTGTCCCGTTCAGTCGGACGGCGCACATTATAACTGCGTTTTTCAAATTAACAATAAGTACGTCTCCGACGGATGTGTTTAACGTGCATATTTTCTGGTGAAGTGTATTTTCGTCAGTTGAGTTACATATTGTTCTAAGTTGTAGCAAACATTTTGTGATTAGTGACAACTCGTGTTTATTGTCTTTGCATCCTACTACAGTTCGGCTAGATGCCGCCGTTGTATTTCATACGTACATCTGTATGAAAGCAAAATACTCACCAGGGAGATTCATTACTAACTGGACAAATGTGAAACTTGTTATGGTAGGCTTGGGGATCAACCAAAAGTCAATATTAGTTGCCAAAAATCTGAAAGTTTACAACTTTTGAAAGCTGTAATATCATACGTATTTACGCGGTAATGCTTTCAGGATAAGTAGTAGGTTAGACTATAGATTTGTTGGATCGCTGGTCGATATGCTAATGAACTATCATCTTTTCATAATGCGATTGGGTTATTGATGCCAATATTCTTTATAAAGGATTCAGTGCTGAACATAAAACAATTGATCTTACTGATCGTTGTGTCTTTCATTTTAAACACAATTAGCAGACGTATGGAATAAACTTTGTTAGATTAGCCTTGAATACCAATTAGTCGCATTCGAAATTCGCTTGACATAAGCCCGTACTATCGATCTGTTCATGGTTAGTCATCTTTAGCTAAAGTATTTTAATAAGTTTGTACTGAGTAGTAGTTACCCAGCAGTGTCTGAACTGTCTGATACACTTAACAACAAAACTGTTGCTCCTGTCTTATCAGTCAGTTACAACGTGGAACTTCGTACGTAGGTATATAAGCTCAGGTTGCCATACCACATTAGCACAGAGACGCGAATGTCAAATCAAATCCCATAGTGGTAAAGACAGTAGAGGTATTAATGGTAATAAGGAAGACTAGGGTTTGAAGATATTATTCAAGAAGTATAATTCAGTGAGATAAGGTTAGAAGGACAAAGGTAGAGCTGTTGACGAATCCAGAAGATTGGGATTTGAGAGAGTTCAACGAACGGATGCACTTGCGCCATTGCAAACGATTTTGAGCCGTGTCGTTCAAGGTCTCTAACCATTGTTGACTTTCGTCTCTCGGACGCCAACCAGGTAGCCCACATCTGCCAGCATGACTCAGTCCACTTGTCAGTGACTTTATGGATTTCTGCCATGGTTTAGTTTGGCCGCCCCTAGCTTTTTTCCAACCTACTCCCACACCACAAAACAAAGCTCATCGAGGCAGTCGGTGGTTGGGTATACGCAACGCATGTCCCAACCACCTCAACTGATGAAGTTTCACCACTTCATCAATTGGTCTGCCATCCTTACCTAGCACCTGTTTCCTAATAACGGCACTGCTCAGTTGGTTGTCCGACGGTATACGAGCAATGCTTTGGAGAAACCTATGATCAAAGACAATTAAGCGAAGAGTATCTTCTACTCTCACTGGCCATGTTTCACAGCCATAAAGTAGGACGGTGCAAACTGCTGCTCGTCCTTTTTTAGCAAATGGATATCTCGCCTACGCCATAGGTGACCCAGGTTCGCGAAAGTCTATCGAGCTTTCTGTATCCGAGATG